GTGATCAACTGTCACACGTGAGTCACTGAAGTGAAACCGTGGAATAAACGATACGAACATCAAAGTACACACACACACACACACACAAAAAAATACCTGTAAATGTGGCGATCATTAATGAATTTACCTTTACCCCAAACACCAATTCCACGACCAAAACGGGTGTGAAAAGAACTGTGCTTAATCCTGCAAAACAAACTAACAAAAAAAACCCCAGCGAGATTAATAAGACACTTCTCCCGTAGAGTTCACAACATCGCGTGAAGTCGTTAGGGAAAGGGGAGGGATGGGTCACGCAAGCAACTAACAACTCGATCAGGCAACTTGGGCTCATATTTATACTCACCGGAGGGGGCAAGTAGCCGACCGGACAAGCGTCCTAAGACCCGAGACACTACGATACGAAGACCCGTATAACATTAACTTCCTTTATCATTTAATAATAAATACATTTAACGTTCTAACGGATCCTAAGGCTCACATCAGTACGATAGCACACCAGCACTTACACTATATTTTTTCCCGCTGCCGATCGGTAGGGATGGAGACGGTATCCGAGCGAAACTATCGGGCTAGGGGTGAAACGGTGTTTCTTTTGAGTTTGCTGTTTTCGGCGCAGATAATAACTCAACGAACCATGCTATTTTAACGGTACCTCCTCCAAGTATGTCTCCAAGCCAGATGAGGGGTTGGAGTTAGGTTACCGTTAACCTTCTCCACCAGTCTCCAACCCTACAGCAGCGGGGCAACGTTGAAAAGTGACTGCGGCGATGTGCGAACGTAGCGAAGGTAAGCTTGGCTAGTCCAACGTCCAAGAGCTTGAATTAGATGATCCGGGACCCCAGCCGCAGCGGCGGAAGTAGCAGCCCCAATGCGAAAACTGTGAGATGAGTAGTTCCCCATTACGCCGGCCCGCCTCAAAATTTTGCGAAGGAAAAAATTGACTAGTTGAGCAGTTAAGGGGAAGCCATCCGACCACAGGAATAATGGACCAGGGCCGCTGCCACGCATATCGAGGTAAGCCTGAAGCGCCAAGACAGGGCAGAGATGATTGGTTGAAGACCCGATGTACAGGACCTGTCCGACGCCAAGAGGATCAGTCTTAGAACATTTGATTCGAAGACGAATGCCCACTGACGAACCAGAAGAGAAGTGTACATCAGCTAGTGCCAAATGACGGGACGGAGCGAAAGGGACAACCGAAGTGAATTCGCTGACACGCAGAAAACCAAAAAATGCCAGAGAGCACGCAGACCAAAACATAACTGCATCGTAGCCGTCGACGAATGAATCACCAACCGTCGACGAATGAATAACATCCAATAGATCGCGGGTTATGGGGCAGCGTAACGAGTAAAACGCCAGACCGAGAACGACGGATGCCCTGAAGCAGACGACGAAGCCGTGGTTTCTCTTTCGTGGGATCCGGGAAGCCAAGGTCAATATGATAGGAACGGACAGCAGCTAGGTAAACATTAAAGGAAAAACTCCGTATTGAGCCGAATAGGGTGGGTTGGTGAACGAAAAGCGCAAAGCAAATTAATCATACGCCGGAGGAACGTGCGACCGGGCGGAACAACTTTCGTAACGTGGTGAAGCGAGCCGATAAGGGATTCTAACTCTCGACGAGTGCACCAAGACTTACGATTCCATTTTTGGAGAAGCTCTACGATGACCACAAATTTAGCGGATGGCAACCGAGCAGACTGGGTGAGAGAATTTAGTTCCACACCTAAAAAGACTAACGTAGTAGTAGGACCCTCGCACTTTGAAGGATGGAGAGGCAAACCCAAACGGAGGAATAAGGACCTGGCGATGGCTACATTACTAGCGCACTCGCTGGAGTTGCCGGGGCCAAGGGTCAGGAAATCGACGAGGTAATGAAGGAGAAAACGAACGCGATAATTAGCTTTAAGAATCCATTCCACCATTTCGGCGACGGAGTTGAAGATAAATGGGGCGGAACGTAGACCAAACGGAAGAGCCAAATCGACGAAATATGACTCACGCCACCACATGCCAAATAAGAAACGTTCGTCAGGTCTGAGAGCGATGTTACGGTACGCACATTCTACGTCAAATTTGGCCCTAAGAGCACCCGGACCAAGCTGTACAAACGAGCAATGGCATGATCGACAGAGATGTAAGTCAACGAGAAAGGATCCTTGGGGATGCCGTCATTAACGCTATGGCCTTCGGGTGACGAAAAATCCAGAATGAGACGCCATTTACCAGGCTGGCCTTTCTTTGGAATGACCTCAAACGGGCTGCACTGTAGATTAGGAAACGGTGGCGATGCAAAAGGACCCACGATACGACCATGCGAAATTTCATTTGCCAAATATTTGTCGATAACATCGGGATGTTGCAAGGCCGATTTCATGTTTCGGTGCGATGATCGTAAAGAGACTAGCGAAGGATCAAAACCCGACGGAAAGCCGTGAGCTATACCATCCAACACGTAGCGAACCATAGCTTGATTGGGATGGTTGATTAATTCCCGATGAAACTCGACGTATTGAAGCGGCGAAACGCGGGAGACCAACGGAAACAGGATGCAGGACTCCGGCAACGGTGGATCTACAGCACGAACGAAAGCACCTACAACGGAGCAGAAAAACAGCGAGCGGAAGCGAACGGAGCGACCGGTGCGACCAATGCGATCGGTGCGAACGGTACGACCAGTGCGAACGGTGCGAACGGTACGAACGGTACGAACCGTGCGACCGGTGCGAACGGAGCGACCGGTGCGAACGGTACGAACGGTGCGACCAGTGCGATCGGTGCGACCAGTGCGATCGGTGTGACCGGTACGAACAGTGCGCAACTAAATCACAAATGAAGCTAGATAACTATTTTATTCAGCAAATTCATAACCGAACACGAATTACAAAAAAAAACTAAAATAGCGCACAGAACAATGTTAACGTCCGGAACAACAGCAACAAACAAACCGACCACGTATTAACTACTACCGACTACGTATTAACTAACGACGCGAGGTGTCTGATGATAGACGCTACTTCGTGGGTTGCGAGCGAGATGGTGAACGAGGACGACGTGTAGACTGGTGGGCCACGCTACGACGATGGATTGCAGGACAACCCGGAAAATCACAGGCATGACGGAACCGACACCGGAGGAATTGCGATGAGCACCGACCAGCGTTCCAAGAGTGACAAATAATGGACGACGACGGGGTACCGGACGCTTCAAGGGAGCTGGAGGACGAGGAAAACGAAGTAGATACCCGCGAAGCAGGAGTAGAAGAAACCCCGGCGCCGAATATATGAAAATTATACAGCTCCGGGTGGAGTTGTGACCAATCGGTGAGGCGGAGAGCAGCTGCATGGCGACGAAAAGCGCGATCGTACGCGATCCTCCCCGAGCCAGGATGCTTCTAAGCGGAGCGCAAAATAAGTAGCTGGTAGCGAAGCAAATCCGGGGAGCGAGACCGCCAAAAATTCGTCATCACGAGGATATAAACAGAAAAGGCTTGGAGCCAAGTCAGAATATCTGTAATTTCCTTAGGGCGCTTTGACGGTCGCAAAACTAATTCGTTATCCCCGATGGTAAACGAAGGAGCGTCATGAACTGAAGTTTCTTCGATAAGGGAGGCCAACTCGACAAACTCGCCGTTGAAAATTGATGCCATAAGCTTCGGGGATACCGGAGGAAAACCAGGCCCGACCACGAGGGGAGAAACCAGGCCCGACCACGAGGGGAGATGCGGTAAGCGTAGAGAAGCGAGGGGGCGAGGCAATACCACCAGAGGCTAAAACACCCGGCGAAACAAACCCCATCCCGGGGCCCGGGGACGTAGACGATGAAAACAAATATGGCGTACCTGAAGGGACAGGATTTTGAATCCGATACAACGGCTGCTGCAGCGTCTGTTGAGGCGGTTGCCAATGTCCAGCTACGGCTCGATCTTGTTGTTGGGGAACCGTAGGCGTCGCTGATTGAAGTAACACGGGTTGTGGTGGCTGCTGAGCAAAAAAAATGGTATCAAACTTGGATGACTCGATGGCCAAGTAGAAGCAACACTGACGATTTGTTGATTTGCCATAGCCGGCGATGGAACACGAGTTGGGAATAACGGTGAAGCAATATGGTGGTGTAAACTTGGCTGAAATTGCCGAGATGGCGACGAGCGAACGGCAAGGGGAGCCGTAGCGATCAACTGCGATGCCACTGTTGAAGTTGTAACAGCAGACACGACTGGTGAGCTAGTTGGCGTTAAACTCAAAGCAACTCCTTGAAGAGACATATTTCCCTGAGCCATTGTAGCGAAATGATTTTTTGGACAAGGTTGTGACGGCATCGATTCACGCAAGCAACTAACAACTCGATCAGGCAACTTGGGCTCATATTTATACTCACCGGAGGGGGCAAGTAGCCGACCGGACAAGCGTCCTAAGACCCGAGACACTACGATACGAAGACCCGTATAACATTAACTTCCTTTATTATTTAATAATAAATACATTTAATAGTTTGTTTTTAAATACGAATATTTAATTAGGCGATTTGTAGCGTATTTCTATATATGTTTCCGCAGTATTCGACCAGAACTAATGACTTTAAAACAATGAGATACACTACGTTACGGTTGAAGTGGAAAACAGGCCTAAAGAGTCTTTGCAGTCGTCTTAAAAATTTTTGTCAACTTGCGTTGAAAAGCTGTTTATCAACAAACAACAAATTTTATATACAAACTCTTTTACAGTTTTTTTAAACTTGTCTAAAACTTTCAAACTCCCCCCGGATTTGTGACCAGCAAACGCCGTTTGTTTATTTTTTTGTCTAATTGGATTTGCAATCGGATTTCTCAAATTTGATTTTGTTTCCCGCATCGTCGGTCCCACAATTATATCACGAGAAAAGAGCGAAATATTTTTTGTTCATTTTTAGTTGTACTTCATAAACTATATGAAATATTTTCTGTTGTTTATATATATGGAGGTTTTTTTTTTGTTTTCCTGCGAAATTTTTTCAGTGAATTTCGTATCTTTGTGTATATTTTTAAAAGAATTTCCATCCTCAATAACTAAAGCTTATGCGCCTCGTGATGTCACTGAACTCAGAGCGCACCTGGAGTGAGTCAACCAGGGCGCTTATATAGATAACCCTGGAGTCAACAGTCGAAGCACGGAAATACAATGTAAATTTAGTCAAAATTTGACGTCTTGAACGCTCGGCTTGATTTATTTCAATTATTTACTGGGATGCCTATAATACATCACAATCAGTGTATTTATGGTATATGTAATACATATTTACGGTACATAATATTCACGGTACGGTACGGTTACTAAAATATACTAGCTGATTATTCAGAAAGGGTTATAAATTGCCAAAAGTTGATACAGTTATTTAACGAAGACCGATAGCAGTACCAATTGCATCATACCAGCGATCACTGGAAGTGTAGGTGCCACATCCACCGAAATGCAACTCGGTCAGAAAGAAATAATTGCTAGGCATCTTTTTCCGCCAAGGTTTGAAAACCGCAGTGCGTCGCCAGTGGACTGCTACACCTTGACGTTCAAAAATCGGGTTTCCACGAAGATAATTGTTGACGGGTCTTCGATTATGGTTCGGGAAAAAGGCAAAATAGGCATTGGGATTAGCATCACAGTTTCGGAAAGCTACGCTTTTGCCATTTGATCTAAATAGAGATTTTCCATGCAATTTAGGAGCTACAGTCTTTCTCTGTATACACAGTCCATCACTTCAAAAGTTGAAGAAGTTGTTCCCCTGGGGCCAGTTGTATAAAAGGCAAAATTGGCCAATCTGTATAGTGTCACTTTTTTGAGACATACTGTACAATATAGGGTGTCCCCAAAAATGTGACAATAGTAAGTTTTTTTGTTCTTAAACCTCTTTTAAATGTGCGTGATTGCGTTTTGCTGCCACAACGGATCAATTAATGAAATTATACTGTATATACTACAAATGATCTGCTTTGTCAGTTAAACCATGACTCATTGTAACTTCATACTTCATTGGGATTTTTATTGTAATGAGAGTTATTATAATAATAGTAATCATTCAAAATTCAAGAAACTGATGCCTACGCTTCTGTGGATTTAGAATTATACCGCACAGGCATGCAAATGCATGATAACGACAGGATAATTTCATTTTGGGACACCCTGTACAAACCTGAATCCTTGAACACTCCGGGATCTTGCTATGGACTCCGGTAATATACCAAGATAGATATAGTCACCAAGCCTATAGTTCACAGGTCTTGCATATCCAGGGGAATATGTATGCATCAGTACACTAAATTCTTCCCGTAAATAGGTTGAAAGTTGATTTATCATGGTGAAGGGTTGTCGCTCATCTTTCCTTTTGATACGAAGAAGGACTCTTGATTTCTGCTTAAAAATTTGCTTAATCAGGCCTGGAAACTTCCATCGCTTTACAGCATCGCGTGGTATGAAGGTATATCCCCCGCCATCCTCCTCCATGTCGCAGTAGACTGTGATAAGGCTATTATAACCGACCAAAATTTTATACTCACCACTCCTTGCAAAAGGTGAACTTCTTCTTATTTCAAGACATGATCGTTTGTAGGCTGTTATTTTCTGTATAATTGAATGCATATTTGTTATATATTTGACTCGAAGTCTAATTAGAATTGCACACACACACATGCATATATATATAAACTAGAGTTTACTATTTCTGAACAAAAACATATAGGTAGATAAACTAGAGTTTACTATTTCTGAACAAAAACATATTCCTCTTACATCCATGAACTGAACCGTGCATGTAAATTAGTTCAAAAAGGTGAGGGGCTCGCATGAATCATTGAAAGTATTTCTAGTAAATATGACACGGCTCTTTGAAAACGACATTTGGGGGATGACTTTTCTGTCGTTTAGACGGCAGGCATGTCTTCTTGTCTTCTTTTCTGTACACATTCATGCACACACAGTTGGGAAATGTAACCGATCGCTTGTATGATGTTTTTGAAATTTTAAATCCTGAATAGTTTAATCCTGAATAGTTTTTAAATCCTGAATATAGTTATGATACATTGATATTTTCGCAAAAATTTCAATGAAATCAGAATTACGGACGATTAAAAGTTGCTTACCATGAATACGCCACACGAGTTGAGAAGAAGAATGAACAAGGCAAAGCGATTCATACTGCAACGAAAGACGAAAATGAGGGTTGCGCTTTAAATTTATACAAATCTGTATATTTCAATAAAATTTTTCGTTAGATCGCGGTCTAGCCTTACTATGGAGGAATTTATGCAAGACGTGAAACGGTTTGTAAATCAATTCCGATTTTAATGCACCTGTTTGAAATTGGTTCAAACCTGACTATTATATAAGGTGATGCATGGCTCTATTATACTTTGAACTTTAAGACTGCAAAATTATCAGCATGCAAAACGTGTATCTGGCTAACTGTTCCTGTATATCCATATATTATTACTACCAAAATTTTCCTTTTGAAAGAAGACTTTGCAATCCTAGCCTATTGCATCTAATAACTTTTAATCAAAGTTATGTGAATGTTAACAAATTCACTGGCAATCGTACAACCAACTATATAATCATATATATGTGTAAAAAATCTGCAAGAGATACGTAATTTGCAATTGCTTGTGAGACTTTATGTATATACTCCTGAAATTTTAATTTAAACTCTACTCCGAATACAGTTATAAAAAGTTAAAATAGCTATATACTGGTATATATTTAAAACTGTTGATGGTACCTCCACGGTCGCGGTGGACGTTTATGAATAGCAGCTGTTTTAAGAAAAAAGTTACGCCACATATATATAACTGTAAAGAAGTTTCAACATTTAGCAGCTAGTGAACATTGCAAAAATTGCATGTACATAATAGGATCAACAACTATTACCATTTACCACTGCTGAATCGCGAAAATTCCTAAAGGGTTTTCGGGGTTTTTTATCACATATAGGTCCTATGGCTATACATACGTGTACGCTTTAATTAATGCTTTGCTGCACGTCAATAAATAACTTACCTTGCGATAACTTCTGTTTGCTGTTGACTGATTTCTTCTGACTGAATATATGCTCTTTGCACAAGTCACACTGAACTATGCGATTGAGCAAGAAAAGTGCGTACTTATACATTCCCTTCAGTCACAAGTCTGCATTAATTCAATTTCCTTTTCAGCAATATAATAACACTATAAGGAGTGACAACACTTACAGTATACTATAATTAAACATCGATCCTTTGTTACTCATTTAAACAACAATGAATTTTATCAAATTTTAGCGGATCTCTTCTTTACTGATTACGACTCTATATATTTTATCGGCCGAAGGGTTGAAGTCGAGATTAAAAATTACCCACAATTGACCCGGTTTTTGTCGTTTCGATATATAGCTATATATATATAGGTATACTATGATCGATCGATCCTATGACATTATATTGCATGTGAGATGCCGATCAATTCCTCTTTCAAAGAAAGACTTCCGTCGTAATAAATATAGTATAAAATACATTTTAATCGATCGTTAGTTGAAAAGTGGATCTCTACAGCTATCTCCGACGTTGATATATATACGCCTCTATTCTCTGAACGTTATAAAGGCCGGCGCACACTGGAGCTATGCATGTGCTTGGCCAAAAGTCATTTCAATTTTTTATTTACTGTCCGATCTTTATTATGTTTCAAGCAATATTACCTCCATTATAAATATTCACAGTAGGACGTATACTTTATATATACAAGACGTCTACAATCAAGCCATTCTCCCTGTTGGCGAAGAGGCGAAGAGTATAACAAGTGGAACTTCTTTCTCATTAAAGGGAAGATTTTGGTCTCTTTAACAGAATTATTATTCCACTTAAATTTCGTTCAAACAATGTCAATGCATGTGAATCGATTTGCAAATCACTTAAACTTTTCTTCTATTTTCAAGCCCGTGAAACTCGTTCAAATAAGGTTATGGTTATATTCCGTTGTAGGTTTTGGCTTTGATATAATTAGGTGATGTCAACATTGAACTTTGTTTCGGGACAACAGAATTTTTAGCATCGCGGGTGTCATAATTGTTAATTAAGTTAGTTTGAAAAGTGAGACATAAGTCTGTCTATTCATAATTGAACCGCGGTATATGTAGCCACATATAATTCTAACAATTTCATAGTTCCATTGTCTCCATTTGCTTCCGTTTAAGCATATTTTTACTAAATTTAACCAGCAAATTAAACTTAAACAGATCGGGCATTTCCTTTTATAATGTTGATGAATTTATGAAGGATGTGTTTCTTAGATTTTATCGTTCTCCCTGAAATCCCGTCAGATATATCCTGTGATATAACCCAGGTATATAGTCTGGAGTCGACAGCGTCGTGGCCGGGTTGCATGTCATCACGGGAGTCTTGTAATTGTTCATATATATTTGCAAATTCAATATAGCTGCTCCGTAATTTTTTGAAATGAGGTTTTCAGTCTTACTGTCATTCTTTCACTGATAAAGAAATCAATTGAGGCATTTATTTTATTTTGCTTGCAGTTAAATGAAATAATGTAAGCTCATTATTCGGGATGACTAGCCCGGGAAATTGTTTGCTTGGTTTGAGATGGGGGGAGGGGGGGGGGGATCGTTTGCTTCAGCAAGCTTGTATTTTAACAGCTCGTTATACATGCAGTATAAATATATCACGAAATTTGGGATGTGTTCAGAAACACTTTTTTCGGCAAGTCCATGAATTTTACAAAGTTAGCAATTGTGAAAGTGTCGGAGACGGAGAATGGAGAAGCATATATATACCATGCATAATGATATTTATATATATTTGATCTTAATGTAGTAGTGTGTTGTATTTCCGTTCTGATATAGTTTAACTGAATTGGAATAAATATTATTTTATATAAATACTAGCTGGTCATGCACATTGTTTTATCAAAGACTTACAAACTCATTTTAGATGAGCAAAATTATTCCTAACAGTAACACAATTTCGAATTATTTGACCTACTACAGCTAATTTACTGTATAAATGTGATTGCGTGCATGCAACTTTTAGTTGGATATACTATAATTTACAAGCAAAACAGTTTGTATGACATATAGCTCATATTATCATTGCCATTTGGCTGGTTTGTAATTTTCAAATGCCCATTTCCCTTTTTTGGTAACTCAGTTTTAAATCGAGGAATTTGAAATGAGAAATTGCTTTAAACCGCTGAGCTGCATGGATGTTCATCCATGCACAGATATATACGCCTATATTCCAAAAGCTAAACTCAAACTCATTGAGTTGAAGATCGCAATCTTCTCAAAACGTTCGAAAAAAGTTTGAGTTTCAGTGTTTTAACGTAAATCTTTTTTTGGATTAAGAAAGTCCTTTCGCATGCATTGGTCAGCAATAACAAATTTCTATGTCACACTTAATAAGTGCATGTGATTAAACTTTTTAAATACAAGCGATTGTGCTTCAATGAAAGCGAGTTGTTGCTTATACTCTTAGAGGAGCATAGCTACTTTTTGATTATCTATAGCTTCTCCACTCCAACATAACTCTGTAATATGTATATATATATTTACTCGTATAATAATTGTGACGTGTCCGTTTATTGATTTTGCTAGACCCGAGTATCAACTGGTCGAGCTTGACATTCAGAAGGCAAACCATTTTCATCAAAGCCAGGTATTGCATTGAGTCTGGCGGCGTATCAAATTCGTAGCTTTTAAATTTGCTTCTTCCCGAGGTATTATTCACCACACCACTGAAATTTCAGTAGGCTATTAAGACAGAATTCATTGAAGGTCAATATTTAAGTATATAATTATATAAGTAAATAATAACGGGGTTGAATTTGTTTGTCTCTATCAAATAGACCATTTAAGTTTAAGCTATGTAATTTTTTTCTGGCGGAACTCTTCTTTATTGATTACGACTCTATAGAGTAGCTAGTTTATCGGCCGAGGGGTTGAAGTCGAGATTAAAATTACCTACAATTGAGGCGGTTTTTGTCGTATATCGATCCCATATCGTTATATTTATTTTGGTATACTCTGATGGACCCTATATATCATTAGGTATACTGCATGTGGGATGCCGATCGATTCCTCTTTCAAAGGAAGACTTCCGTCGTAGTGAATAGTATAAAATGCATTTTAATCCCTCGTTAGCTAAAAAGTGGATCTCTACAGCTATCTCCAGCGACGTTGATATATATACGCCTCTGTATTTCTCTGAACGTTAAAGGCCGGCGCACACTAGAGCTATTTGCTTATAGCAAAAAGTCATTCCAATTCTTGATTTACAATTCTGAATTTACTGTCCGATCTTTATTATGCTTGCTTGGGTTTGCATGTGTATCAGTTCAAGATCGATTGCTTATGTTTCAAACAATATTACTTTCATTATAAATATTTACTGTAGGACGTATACTTTATAGCTATATAGCTACAAGATGTCTACAATCAAGCCATTCTCCCTGTTGGCGAAGAGTAACAAGTGGAACTTCTTTCTCGTTAAAGGGAAGATTTTGGTCTCTTTTACAGAATTATTATTCCACTTAAATTTCGCTCAAATAATGTCAATCGATTTGCAAATCACTTAAACGTTTCTTCTATTTTCAAGCCCGTGAAACTCGTTCAAATAAGGTTATGGTTATACTCCGTTATAGGTTTTGCCTTTGATATAATTAGGTGATGTCAACATTGAACTTTGTTTCGGGACAACAGAATTTTTATCATCGCGGGTGTCATAATTGTTAATTGTGTTAGTTTGAAGAGTGAGACATAAGTCTTTCTATTCATAATTGAACCGCGGTATATGTAGCCATATATTATTCTAAACAATTTCATAGTTCCATTGTCTCCATTTGCTTCCGTTTAAGCATATTTTTACTAAATTTAACCAGCAAATTAAACTTAAACAGATCGGGCATTTCCTTTTATAATATTGATGAATTTATAAAGGATGTGTTTCTTAGATTTTATCGTTCTCCCTGAAATCCCGTCAGATATATCCTTTGATATAACCCAGGTATATAGTCTGGAGTCGACAGCGTCGTGGCCGGGTTGCATGTCATCACGGGAGTCTTGTAATTGTTCATATATATTTGCAAATTCAATATAGCAGCACCGTAATCTTTTTAAACGAGATTTTCAGTCTTACTGTCATTATCATTGAAACGAGATTTTTAGTCTTACTGTCAATATTTCACTGATAAAGAAATCAAGTGAGCCATTTATTTTATTTTGCTTGCAGTTAAATGAAATAATGTAAGCTCATTATTCGGGATGACTAGCTCGGGAAATTGTTTGCTTGGTTAGAGGGGGGGGGGGGGTTATTGCTTCTGCAAGCTTATATTTCAACAGCTCGTTATGCATGCAGTATAAACTAGGTTACCTGCAAGGTAGGGATTGCTGCGGGCATTAAAAACAAATTGAACCAAATATCATATAAGAACAGAATTGGCAAAACTGTACAATTGTTAAAAAAATATTACAAAAGCGTTGAAATTTGTGAAATATGTGTCACACGATCACGTCGCAACTAATTTAACAAAGGACGTGTTAAGGTGAAATTTTTCTTGCATAAAATATCAACGCAAAACACGTACTTTGGCATTTTACATTTCTCAAGAGTAGAGTTGGATTGGTGGAAGTTGCAAAAAAATTGCATCGTGTGACAGGGCCTGAACTAAACTCTAAAGTTAACAAAATAAAGTAAGTGACTCCTTTTGCAGGACAATCCACCTTTGATGTATTCGGCGACCCTTCGGTATCGTCGTCTTGCCTTAAATAGTTCAAAGAATTGCTATACTCGTTTGCTGTACTTTCGTATATGGCAGATTGCCCAGACCCACAGTCACCCACTATGACGATGAAACACGAGGCTGACAAAGATGTAAAAATAAACTTGGATTATCAAACTAAACTGTGGTCTAACAATAAGATAAAATAGGAAATACTATCAAGCGCAAAGGTGCAAATGAAATCGAAGATATAATCAGTTCCTTCAAAGAATTGCTACTCATTTACTGTATTTACATGCGGCAAGCGACAACGAAACACGAGCCGCAATGACAAATATGTAAAACATAACAGTGATAACACTTGGATTTTTAATTTTAAACACTAAATTGCCGCTTTTACTGAGCTTTTAACCCCTAGTAAACGTCACACTGAATTAAGCGCAGTACCGTAGTGCAAATGAAACCGAGAATAGATACAAACAGTTTAATCAGTTCGAAAAAAATGAAATTCGAATACGGCAGACTACCCAGGCACACTATGACAATGAAACACGAGGCGCAATGACAAAGATGAGGAAATAAACTTGGATTATCAACACTGAGTCAAAATAAGTCCAAACAGGCAAAACAATCAACAATATACTTAAAATACGATTTGATAGTCAATGCTGTATATCGCGCGTCGTACGATATGCTAAACGAAAAATCTAGACATCAATGCGCGAATATTTATATTGTAAATCAAAACAAATTACAGTAGAAATAAGGCAAAACGACAAGCAACTGTCAACCTGATAATAAATGAAAACAAAGGCGAATGAAGAACAGAATGTATGTTAAATCTGGACTGGTACCTCTTCCAGACTGGTACCGTTTGACTTTTAAGTTTTAATCCATATTGGTATTTAATCCATGTCACTGAAACGTGAGATTAATTTGTGCACAACTGCGCATACAAACAGGCCTGATACAACTGCGTCACTGCGCACAACCACAATGCAACGCAACCCTAAAAATTTGCCTTTCACTGCCTACTACGCCAATTAGACTGCTGCTACGCTCGCTCGCTTCAGGCTCGCTCCCTCCGCAGCAATAACGAAATTTTTGATGTGTTCAGAAACACTCTTTTTCGGCAAGTCCATGAATTTTACAAAGTTAGCAATTGTGAAAGTGTCGGAGACGGAGAATGGAGAAGCATATATACGATGCATGTCATATTTATATATATATTTGATCTTAATGTATTAGTGTGTTGTATTTCCGTTCTGATATTGTTTAATATAATTGGAATAAATATAATTTTATATAAATACTAGCTGGTCATGCACATTGTTTTATCAAAGAATTACAAACTCATTTTAGATGAGTAAAATTATTTCTAACAGTAACACAATTTCGAATTTGACCTACTATATATCTAATTTACTGTATAAATGTAATTGAGTGCATGCAACTTTTAGTTGGATATACTATAATTTAATGATAAAAATAGGTACGTTTTTAAGAGCATAAGCAAAACAATTTGTATGACATATAGCTCATATTATCATGTGGCTGGTTTGTAATTTTCAAATGCCAATTTCTCTTTCATGGTAACTTTTAAGTCGAGGATTTTGAGATGAGAAATTGCTTTATACCGCTGAGCTGGGTGTTCATCCACAGATATATACGCCTATATTCTAAAAGCTCACTTACATGCACTCAAACTTATCGAGTTGAAGATCGCAATCTTCTCAAAAAAAAGTTTGAGTTTCAGCGTTTTACTGTAAATCTTTCCTTGGATTAAGAAATTAAAGTCTTTCGCATTGGTCAGCATATAACAAAATTTCTATTTCACACTTGTGATTGAACTTTTTAAATACAGGCGATTGTTCTTCGATGAAAGCGATTGTTGCTTATACTCTTAGAGGAGCATAGCTAATTTTTGATCATCTATAGCTTCTCCACCCCAACATAACTCTGTTATATGTGTATATTTACTCGTATATTAATTGTGACGTGTCCGTTTATTGATTTTGCTAGACACGAGTATCAACTGGTTGAGCTTGACACTCCGAAGGCAAACCATCTTCATCAAAGCCAGGTATCGCATCAATGCTAGCGAAAGGTGAGCCACTGTATGGCGAATTTCGTTCAAATTCCCATCCACGTGCTGAGTAAATCGAGTCTGGCGGCGTATCAAATTCGTAGCTTTTAAATTTGCTTCTTCCCGAGCTATTATTCACAACACCACTGAAATTTCAGTATTAAGACATAATTCATTGAGGGTCAATATTAAAGTATATAAGTAAATAATAACGGGGTTGAATTTGTTTGTCTCTATCAAATAGACCATTTAAGTTTAAGCGATGTAATATCTTTCTGGATGCATACATGCACATTAAAAGCAACTTCACTTACAGAATAATTGATAGGATCACAAATATAAAAAGTAGTACTCCACCAATCGACAATCCTAATATTAATGGCCAATCCACTTTACTTTCACTGGTTTTTGCTGTTTCTGTGGTTGCATTCGGTGATATCGTTGCATTCGGTGATATCGTTGCATTCGGTGATATCGTTGCATTCGGCACTGTCGTTGTAGTCTCTGCTGTTACTGACATATTTAGGCCGAGAATATCGGATGTAAAATTTCCTTTTATGACTTCTTGTACGCCACTAGATGAAAGTGGTGCCCCTTCTGGACTGTCCGGGTCTTTGACGACGAAGCTAATTGTTCCAGTTTCATCGATCTGGACAAGAACATCGTCTTTGGTAAAGTTTCTGAAAGGCATAAAGACCGAACATATTAGTTATTGTTTTTTGAATATATTATGCTTAATATAAGAAGATATAAGAACAGAAAAACCCGCGACTAAACCCCAACGTACCTCGTTTTAGGACAAATATCAGCAGAATTGTTCTGACAATTTTCGTTCAACCTATTAGCAATTGTAAGTTGTACATCCAATCTAACGGCGTCAGTGGAATGCTAAAATTATAGACAGTAAAATACTTCATAAACTGTTCATATATGAAATTATAAGTGGTACACATAGTAGTGGAAGCTCGATCTTTTGCAAATGCAAATGCAAATGTAAACGCCCGTATCAACAAATTAGCGGGTTACGTTTTTATGGTTTAAACATTTTTTTTCAGCACATTCGAGGAATGTTCAAAGATAAAATGTAGTTCTTCAAAAAATACCCTTGCAACGAACAAATGTTGCATATTTTAGAATCTTCCTTTCATTTGTAAATTCTTTTACCTGTGACGCATCCACGACTGTCAGCTGAACTAGATTGTCAGTTTCATTCTTTGACAGTTGGGCATTTTGGCTCGTTGAAGCAACTGTAGTTGGTTGTGATATAACATTCGGCGATAGACTGTAAATAGTTGTTAATAGTTCGGAAGGCATTGTTTTTCCACTCGGCAAATCGACAAAAAATGACAACACTGCATTGCTGCCATCTTGCGTGGGGGAATTAGGCAATATCTGCACATTCTGAACATCAATCTGAGCCACCTGAGCCCTATAATACACATAAAATGCAATCAAAAGGATGTCACTGCCGCATGGAGATTATGTATTTGAGACAGTATTGCCTTCTTGACAAATCACACTAAACAAACGGGTTTATGCAATCCAAAATTTCTTAGCAATTTACTTTGGTCGAAAATTTCTTTCTAGTATTTTAAAATTAATAGGAGTATCCTATATTATAATCAATATATTTATTATTACTCCTATTGAATCATATAACTCTAAATATTTCCGCTGAATTTGAGGATACAATTTTGTGAACATACCGTGTCAGGTTGCACAAAGTCAATCGCACATCACTTTCATTACAAAATTGGATGATTGCTTGCGACATATTGTTTCGGAATGAAATGTCTTGTTGCAGCGTCCACTAAAAACACAATTATCAATGTTACTCCCTCGTAGGACGGGGAGGTACAGGAACAATGCATATTGTTGAAGTAAAAAAACTGTCAACGTATAAAAATTGAGAAACGCGGAAATTTTGAGGTTTCCCACATGCACATGAACAAATTAGAGATTTGCTACACATTTAACAACGTCAATTACACGAACGTTTTTAATGAACGTCATTTTGCATGCATGATCATAGATTCCTAAAGACATGGTCACAATAAGTACTCAATCGATCACTGTGGCAAATGTGTCAAAATATTTTCACGTATATAGTGCAGGAATTTATTAAAACTGATTCACTTGCATGCGTATACCGGTATACGGTATATCCTCTTGGCTACATTATATAAATAAACATCTGTAGATACGCAATATGATACGGCTGAGAATAATTCTGCAGTACCTGATTTGTATTCGTATTAGTTAAGCTAACATTGATTGCGTTGTTTCGCTGAGTTTCTGATACAGTGGGCGTATTCACAACACCAAGAGTGAGATTGGAAATATCTGATTCACCATTTTCTTGCAACGTTTGATGCAAAGCATCTTCAACAACATCGGTTTGAACTGGAGTATTAGTTCCTGGTTTGTTGACAACTGCACCTACCACCGTATTACTCCCGGACTCCGTGACGTTGGAATCGAGTAGAACATCATTTTCACTGAATTTTTGGTTTCTGTAAAGCGCAAATCATTAACTAAATGTTATATGTTTGGTGCAAAGTTTCTAGAAATTGGTGCAAAGATTAAAAAGACGTTTGTTTCATGCAAATGAATGTAATTTGATGAAATTATTGCGACATTAAAACTTACTAATTTAAGCTAGATTGGTTAAAAATAAGAGGTTGACCTCTTTTTGGTTGTTTTTTTTTTCAAATACAATTCATCAAAAAGAGATAAATTAATTTGAAAGAACAAATTTTAATTTAATTTTGTTGTTTTAACAGTTATTTTTTTTAAATGTCATTTATGATTGTTCTTCCTAACTCCTAAGTATAAGGGATAAAAATTATTGCAACCTCTATTGCAATTATTTCAAATTAATCCAAATTATGGCATTTTATTATCCACTTACCCAACAGCTCTCTTCTTCCTTCGGCTGGAATTAAATATAAAACGTTATTGAAAGCGTAATGTGAATAAATTTTCACGAAAATATTACGTTATATTGGCAAGCATGATGCTAAACCAAGGGCCATGCAGGGGCGTATATAAAACGGTTAACTATGTTTTGAGTTTGATTCTGATTGACCATGCAATTCTGTGACCAACTAAACGCTTTTATACAGCCGGAACAAAATGGTTCCTGTAAGTGGAAGTATGCATGTTGATTCATGGCCGAAAGCAATAAGTTTGGCTCGTTCTATAGTTCGGTGAAAAAATGCATGCACTAAAACGAACTGTTTTATTTCTCAGATATTCTAATTTCAAATAATCTTAATAATTATGTATGTAACATGCATGACAATTGTTCAACCAGAATAGCCATTGCATGTGGTTACCTAAATTTAAATGAATAAACGACTGTGTATTCGAACTTACCTAGCGCCTGAATTGAGGCCGCATATATCCCCTGTTGTACTGAAACAAAATGTGTTCATTCTGGCAGCAACTGTCACTTTAATATCGACCACAACCAACGCTGTATACTATATCGAATGGCGTAAGATGGTGTGAGTTTATATGATATAAATAAATGAAAGTTATCACTGTCCTTGTTTTGTATATATGACAGCAGTTGAAAACCGGTAAAATTTATACATTATATGAGGTGTGAATATTAACAAATAGCCGATAAATAAATGGCAATCGTTTTGAAATAATTAATTAGAGATAGAAATACACGGGGGGCATCGTGATTTCCACTTGGTGACGTCATGTACAAACAACCCTCATTTTGGGTGCAGTCAAATGGCAAGCCAGACTCGGCTCGCAAAGCGTGTCGGTTTCACAGCACGAGTCAAGACTCACCTTCTTTGGACTGAAGTTGAAAATTGTTATCGGCACCAAGTTGTTTGTTTGTGCAGGTGTTAGAGTTGGAGTTTCGCTGCTTGGCATACTTGTACCAGGGTCTTTGAGCTCGCTATTGATGGTAGGTAGTATGTTGTCTTGTTCCGTTACAAATATCGTTGCCAAGACGCTCACAGGTAACGCGCCACTGCCTCCTGGTAAACTTGCGTAAAATGACAGGATGGAATCGGTTCCGTTTTGTGTCGGTGTGTTTGGGAGTCTCTTAATGTGGTCAGCGGTAAAATTATTGCTGACAGCCCTAGCAAAAATGTAGATGTAATTAAGTTATGCTTGATTACAGCGATTCTGTAGAATATTGCAAGATGAAAGGCGTTTTTTAACGTTATTCATAGACCATAGACTACGAAAGCTGCATGTAAAAGCTAAAAAGCCCATTGTATGTCCGTTGTGTATCTGTCTCGTTTCTATGATCTATGGATTACAGGACGGCAAATCAAGTACAGTTTTCTATGATTTTAGCACATAGCTACTACAGTTAGAGATCGCTTTAGCCAATCCAACAGAAGCACGGTCACATTGTACTAATAATCATAATTGCTTTCATAGCTAGACTTACTCTGAAATATTACAGATTGTGCGATGATATTCTCCTCTTCCGCAAAAGTTCTTGATTGCATCTGCCATATTTTGTAGAAACTGCGCGTTTTGAGCTGGCCACTAGATGAATGATTCAAAAGTATGAAATTTACTAAAAAGCGCAAGCCTGCCTTTGAAGAACCAGTTGGCCATGGGTAAGTTCAAATGTGGTTTCTTCGAAGAGGGTGGGGTGTTATATTTTATTGTGGAAAATAGACCAATTGCGAAACTTAGTAACCGCGCCTTCGCGCAACATGGAAACCAGGCTTATTATGCAAAAAAATATTTGTATTTTTTGTAGTAGAAAGCTATTAGCCGGGTTATATGCCCGTTTTCGTCTTTGTACTGGTAGAAACACGAAAAGAAAGCTTGGTTTATTTATATCTTCAAGTTAATTTATTTACGGTTACAAAAGTTTCATTTATGTTTTACATGTACAACAAACCTCATCTGCTTTGAAATTCTTCAACACCACATGAATTGCGTTTTCAGTCAACAGTCGTGTTATTCTCAAGTTAAGGCCGAGTGATTGGGTTGTGAAGTCTCCATTTATCGCATCTTGGACATCAATGGATGAAATTGGTGATCCTTGAAGGTTGTCTGGATCTTTTACGACGAAGCTAACGTCTCTTGTGTCTGGATCAATTTGGACAACAATGTCGTCGTTGGCGAATTCCCTGATAAGATAAAAAGTACTTACTTACTTACACTAAATATAATTATGATAGGGGCAGCATTATGATAGGGGCAGGTCTATAGTAGGAATGCCACGGGTGCGGAGCCGATAGATGAAAAAATTAAAAGCGTCTCTGTATTCTCAGCACTCATCCTTAAAAAAGGGACAAACCTCCTCAGTGCCATGAAAACCGTCTAAAACTGACAAAAACACTTCTCAAAGTTTCTTCCTAAAGGCCTTCGTCAGGAGACAGGAGAGTATGGTCATACTAATGTTTTTTGCTATTCCAGGTAGTTTATAAAATGCACATTTGATGTAAATTCGCTATGGAAGACTCCACTATCCAGGCCATTGCTTAGTTATAATTCAAATGCATTGCATATATATAATCAATAAAATATTTACTTGGCATAGCTATCCGCTATGGAGTCGTTTCTATGGACTCCTTGGTCCCTAACCGACTAACCCTTTAAGATAAAACCCATTTAGCAAATTTGTCCCAAAAGAAAGTTGATAAATGCAAAAAAGAAATCGCTTTGTTTTTTGTATATAGTATATACAATTTTAGAAGAGAAATATTAAAGTGGAATTTTGGCAAGTCTTTTAATTGTTAAGATGCGACCACAGTATATATATTAAACAAATGAACTGCGGTGAAATGCAGTCCTGACAATTTGAATTAGTTTATTGACAGGAATGGCGAACCAGCAAGTTCTGAAGTGGAAACAAAGTAATCGTGGATTTTCAATCACCGCTTAAAGAAATAATCTCCGCTTTACTCTCCACATGCACACATTGACATCGCCAACCTACCTGCTGGTGGGACAAATAGTTGCCCCTGAGTTATTGCTACAATACTCCTTCAACCTGTCGGCAATCGCAACTTGGATATCTAACCTAACGGCGTCATCGGGATGCTAAAATTGAAGAAAGTAAAGAACTTTGTACAGATTCATAAATCACAAATAGCGCATATTTGAAGACGAGGTGGGAAGGAATTTCCCTGTTAAGATTTGTCTCGAATGGAAATAGTAGCTTTAAAATTTTCCATCACTCATATCGAGGGGGAAAAAGCCTATTCACAAATAATTTAATGGTGTTGTGTATGCACTGCAATGGTGGATGAAACTCTTGATCATTCACTATGATGTCCAAATTTACCTGCGCCATACCCTCAACTGACAGCTGTATAAGATTTCCGTTTCTTCTCTTGTAAGATTGGTATTTTTGCTTGTTGAAACAATCTCATTTGGTTGTGATATAACATTTCTTGATACACTGTAAATAGTTGATATGAGATCGGAAGACATTGTTGTTCCATCTGGTAGATTAACGAAAAATGATAGTATTGCGTCGTTGCCATCTTGTGTGGGCGAATTAGGCAATATCTGTACATTTTGAAAACTTATTTGATCAACCTGGGCCCTAAAAGACAGAAAATAGCAAAAATTTATTAAAAAAGGTCTAATTGTCACAATGAACACCAACTTATTCTAGTTTCCTGGGGTCGGTTGTATCAAGCCCGTTTAGCTTAAACGTTGCATGGATAAGAGAAAATTAAATAACACTCTTACAACTCTCTTGAATAAGTAAATTTGGATATTATGCACTGAATATGTAGTTGTAAACAGTATTTTTTTTATTTACTGTAGGTAAAATCATTTAGTTCGCTGAATAAAACGGCAGACTTGCTTTCTCTTTTGAAATTTTCATGGTTTAAGCTAAACGCGGGCTTGAGACAACCGCCCTCGTTGCATTACTCTAGAAAAGTAGCCAAAGGTAATTCCAATTTCTTTAGAGATTATTGCCTATAAACAGCATGTCGTTTTTTCCACGCAGTCAACCTGATGTCTCAAACCTCCCTTTGAGCATTCTATGCCAATCGTTTTTTGTGATATTCAGAAAATCCAAGAATTACCTCAGCTTAAGAGTCGAGAGATCGTGCTGTAGACAGCTTTCTGTTTAACTTAGAATGAGCCTACCTCGTAATATTGCACGAGGCCAATCGTGCGTCACTTTCACCACAAAATTTCATAATTGCTTGGGACATATTATGTCGGAAAGAAATATCTTGTTGCAGTGTCCACTAAAAATACAATATGTGAGTTGAAACTTTAGATGGTTGATCAAAACCATGAAATGAAACGAGAGATACGCACTAAATTTTTCGTGTTTTCAAAATTGCTAGCCGCGCTATGGAATGAGTATACGTAAAATATCTTGCCGACTTTATGAAATTCGGCATGGACGCATCCCAGATTTGCTCGTATGAATTTTTGAATAAAAAGAATTTTGTTATATCATATTTCAAGCAACTGAAGTGGACTCTCGCGTTCAAATTCGCCAGTTCAAGATGAAATATATGCAGCATTATATCTTACATGAATGTGCATATAGTTATTTTACAACACGTGGAAATTAAGTGATAATGCAAGGTTGATAAATTTTTAAATGCCCACACATCTAAATCTTTTCCAACATCGAGTCACTTGATTTGGTTATTTTATTACGAGGAACGTTTGTTTAACCAAGATTATATGGATATATCCTGGAATATATGAATTGCATGCTACACTTCAATGGCAAATGCGATGCAGTTATTAAGAGTATGTGGAACAATCCCTACCTGACTTGCATTCGTATTGGTTAACCTTACACTGGCTGCGTTATTTTCCTGAGTTTCCGATACAGTGGGCGTATTGACAACACCAAGAGTGAGACTGGAAATATCTGATTCACCATTTTCTTGCAACGTTTGATGCAAAGCATCTTCAACAACATCGGTTTGAACTGGAGTATTAGTTCCTGGTTCGTTGACAACAGCACCTACCACCGTATTACTTCCGGACTCCGTAACGTTGGAATTGAGTAGAACATCATTTTCACTGAATTTTTGGTTTCTGTAAAGCGCAAAATCATTAACTAAATGTTATATGTATTGTGCAAAGTTTCTAGAAATTGGTGCGAAGATTAAAAAAGACGTTTGTTTCATGCAAGTGAATGTAATTTGATGAAATTAATGCGACATTAAAAATTACTAATTTAAAAATAAGCGCTTGACCTCTTTTTGGTTGTTTTTTTTTCAAATACAATTCATCAAAAAGAGATGAAAGAACAAATTTTAAATTAATTTTGTTGTTTTAACAGTTATTTTTTTTAAATGTCATTTATGATTGTTCTTCCTAAGTATAAGGGATAAAAATTATTGCAATCTTTATGGCAATTATTGCAAATTAATCCAAATTATGGCATTTTATTATCAACTTACCCAACAGCTCTCTTCTTCCTTCGGCTGGAATTAAATATAAAACGTTATTGAAAGCGTAATGTGAATAAATTTTCACGATAATATTACGTTATATTGGCAAGCATGAAGCTAAAACATGCAGGGGCGTATATAAAACAGTTAACTATGCATGTTTTGAGTTCGATTCTGATTGACCATGCAATTCTGTGAGCAACGCTTTTATACAACCGGAACAAAATGGTTCCTGTAAGTGGAAGTATGCATGTTGATTCATGGCCGAAAGCAATAAGTTTGGCTCGTTCTATAGTTCGGTGAAAAAATGCATGCATGCACTAAAAAGAACTGTTTTATTTCTCAGATATTCTAATTTCAAATAATCGTAATAATTATATACGTAACATGCATGACAATTGTTCAACCAGAGTAGCCATTGCATGTGGTTAGCTAAATTTAAATGAATAAACGACTGTGTATTCGAACTTACCTAGCGCCTGAATTGAGGTCGCATATATCCCCTGTTGTACTGAAACAAAATGTGTTCATTCTGGCAGCAACTGTCACTTTAATATCGACCACAACCAATGCTGTATACTATATCGAATGGCGTAAGATGGTGTGAGTTTATATGATATAAATAAATGAAAGTTATCACTGTCCTTGTTTTGTAGCAGTTGAAAACCGGTAAAATTTATACATTATATGAGGTTCTTTCTTTTTAATATTAATCTTTTCCTAATAATATATATTCAACTAATGTGAATATTAACAAATAGCCGATAAATAAATGGCAATCGTTTTGAAATAATTAATTAGAGATAGAAACACACGGGGGGCATCGTGATTTCCACTTGGTGACGTCATGTACAAACAACCCTCATTTTGGGTGCAGTCAAATGGCAAGCCAGACTCGGCTCGCAAAGCGTGTCGGTTTCACAGCACGAGTCAAGACTCACCTTCTTTGGACTGAAGTTGAAAATTGTTATCGGCACCAAGTTGTTTGTTTGTGCAGGTGTTAGAGTTGGAGTTTCGCTGCTTGGTATACTTGTACCAGGGTCTTTGAGCTCGCTATTGATGGTAGGTAGTATGTTGTCTTGTTCCGTTACAAATATCGTTGCCAAGACGCTCACAGGTAACGCGCCACTGCCTCCTGGTAAACTTGCGTAAAATGACAGGATGGAATCGGTTCCGTTTTGTGTCGGTGTGTTTGGGAGTCTCTTAATGTGGTCAGCGGTAAAATTATTGCTGACAGCCCTAGCAAAAATGTAGATGTAATTAAGTTATGCTTGATTACAGCGATTCTGTAGAATATTGCAAGATGAAAGGCGTTTTTTAACGTTATTCATAGACCATAGACTACGAAAGCTGCATGTAAAAGCTAAAAAGCCCATTGTATGTCCGTTGTGTATCTGTCTCGTTTCTATGATCTATGGATTACAGGACGGCAAATCCAGTACAGTTTTCTATGATTTCAGCACATAGCTACTACAGTTAGAGATCGCTTTAGCCAATCCAACAGAAGCACGGTCACATTGTACTAATAATCATAATTGCTTTCATAGCTAGACTTACTCTGAAATATTACAGATTGTGCGATGATATTCTCCTCTTCCGCAAAAGTTCTTGATTGCATCTGCCATATTTTGTAGAAACTGCGCGTTTTGAGCTGGCCACTAGATGAATGATTCAAAAGTATGAAATTTACTAAAAAGCGCAAGCCTGCCTTTGAAGAACCAGTTGGCCATGGGTAAGTTCAAATGTGGTTTCTTCGAAGAGGGTGGGGTGTTATATTTTATTGTGGAAAATAGACCAATTGCGAAACTTAGTAACCGCGCCTTCGCGCAACATGGAAACCAGGCTTATTATGCAAAAAAATATTTGTATTTTTTGCAGTAGAAAGCTATTAGCCGGGTTATATGCCCGTTTTCGTCTTTGTACTGGCAGAAACACGAATAGAAAGCTTGGTTCATTTATATCTTCATGTTAATTTATTTACGGTTACAAAAGTTTCATTTATGTTTTACATGTACAACAAACCTCATCTGCTTTGAAATTCTTCAACACCACATGAATTGCGTTTTCAGTCAACAGTCGTGTTATTCTCAAGTTAAGGCCGAGTGATTGGGTTGTGAAGTCTCCATTTATCGCATCTTGGACATCAATGGATGAAATTGGTGATCCTTGAAGGTTGTCTGGATCTTTTACGACGAAGCTAACGTCTCTTGTGTCTGGATCAATTTGGACAACAATGTCGTCGTTGGCGAATTCCCTGATAAGATAAAAAGTACTTACTTACTTACACTAAATATAATTATGATAGGGGCAGCATTATGATAGGGGCAGGTCTATAGTAGGAATGCCACGGGTGCGGAGCCGATAGATGAAAAAATTAAAAGCGTCTCTGTATTCTCAGCACTCATCCTTAAAAAAGGGACAAACCTCCTCAGTGCCATGAAAACCGTCTAAAACTGACAAAAACACTTCTCAAAGTTTCTTCCTAAAGGCCTTCGTCAGGAGACAGGAGAGTATGGTCATACTAATGTTTTTTGCTATTCCAGGTAGTTTATAAAATGCACATTTGATGTAAATTCGCTATGGAAGACTCCACTATCCAGGCCATTGCTTAGTTATAATTCAAATGCATTGCATATATATAATCAATAAAATATTTACTTGGCATAGCTATCCGCTATGGAGTCGTTTCTATGGACTCCTTGGTCCCTAACCGACTAACCCTTTAAGATAAAACCCATTTAGCAAATTTGTCCCAAAAGAAAGTTGATAAATGCAAAAAAGAAATCGCTTTGTTTTTTGTATATAGTATACAATTTTAGAAGAGAAATATTAAAGTGGAATTTTGGCAAGTCTTTTAATTGTTAAGATGCGACCACAGTATATATATTAAACAAATGAACTGCGGTGAAATGCAGTCCTGACAATTTGAATTAGTTTATTGACAGGAATGGCGAACCAGCAAGTTCTGAAGTGGAAACAAAGTAATCGTGGATTTTCAATCACCGCTTAAAGAAATAATCTCCGCTTTACTCTCCACATGCACACATTGACATCGCCAACCTACCTGCTGGTGGGACAAATAGTTGCCCCTGAGTTATTGCTACAATACTCCTTCAACCTGTCGGCAATCGCAACTTGGATATCTAACCTAACGGCGTCATCGGGATGCTAAAATTGAAGAAAGTAAAGAACTTTGTACAGATTCATAAATCACAAATAGCGCATATTTGAAGACGAGGTGGGAAGGAATTTCCCTGTTAAGATTTGTCTCGAATGGAAATAGTAGCTTTAAAATTTTCCATCACTCATATCGAGGGGGAAAAAGCCTATTCACAAAATAATTTAATGGTGTTGTGTATGCACTGCAATGGTGGATGAAACTCTTGATCATTCACTATGATGTCCAAATTTACCTGCGCCATACCCTCAACTGACAGCTGTATAAGATTTTCCGTTTCTTCTCTTGTAAGATTGGTATTTTTGCTTGTTGAAACAATCTCATTTGGTTGTGATATAACATTTCTTGATACACTGTAAATAGTTGATATGAGATCGGAAGACATTGTTGTTCCATCTGGTAGATTAACGAAAAATGATAGTATTGCGTCGCTGCCATCTTGTGTGGGCGAATTAGGCAATATCTGTACATTTTGAAAACTTATTTGATCAACCTGGGCCCTAAAAGACAGAAAATAGCAAAAATTTATTAAAAAAGGTCTAATTGTCACAATGAACACCAACTTATTCTAGTTTCCTGGGGTCGGTTGTATCAAGCCCGTTTAGCTTAAACGTTGCATGGATAAGAGAAAATTAAATAACACTCTTACAACTCTCTTGAATAAGTAAATTTGGATATTATGCACTGAATATGTAGTTGTAAACAGTATTTTTTTTATTTACTGTAGGTAAAATCATTTAGTTCGCTGAATAAAACGGCAGACTTGCTTTCTCTTTTGAAATTTTCATGGTTTAAGCTAAACGCGGGCTTGAGACAACCGCCCTCGTTGCATTACTCTAAAAAAGTAGCCAAAGGTAATTCCAATTTCTTTAGAGATTATTGCCTATAAACAGCATGTCGTTTTTTCCACGCAGTCAACCTGATGTCTCAAACCTCCCTTTGAGCATTCTATGCCAATCGTTTTTTGTGATGTTCAGAAGATCCAAGAATTACTTCAGCTTAAGAGTCGAGAGATCGTGCTGTAGACAGCTTTTTGTTTAACTTAGAATAAGCCTACCTCGTAAGATTGCACGAGGCCAATCGTGCGTCACTTTCACCACAGAATTGCATAATTGCTTGGGACATGTTGTGTCGGAAAGAAATATCTTGTTGCAGTGTCCACTAAAAATACAATATGTGAGTTGAAACTTTAGATGGTTGATCAAAACCATGAAATGAAATGAAAGATACGCAGTAAAATATCTTGCCGACTTTATGAAATTCGGCATGGACGCATCTTAGATTTGCTCGTATGAAAGTTTGAATAAAAAGGATTTTGTTATATCATATTTCAAGCAACTGAAGTGAACTCTCGCGTTCAAATTCGCCAGTTCAAGATGTTATATGCAGCCATTATATCTTACATGAATGCATATATAGTCATTTTACAACACGTGGAAATTAAGTGATAGCGCAAGGTTGATAAATTTTTAAATGCCCACACATCTAAATCTTTTCCAACATAGTGGAGTCACTTGATTTGGTTATTTTATTACGAGGAACGTTTGTTTAACCAAGATTATATGCATATGTCCTGGAATATATGAATTGCCACACTTCAATGACAAATACGCGATGCAGTTATTAAGAGTATGTGGAACAATCCCTACCTGACTTGCATTCGTATTGGTTAACCTTACACTGGCTGCGTTATTTTCCTGAGTTTCCGATACAGTGGGCGTATTGACAACACCAAGAGTGAGACTGGAAATATCTGATTCACCATTTTCTTGTAACGTTTGATGTAAAGCATCTTCAACAACACCGGTTTTAACGGGAGTTGTAGTTCCTGGCTCGTTGACAACTGCACCTACCACCGTATTATTCCCAGACTCCGTAACGTTGGCATCGACTATAACATCAGTTTCACTGAACTGTTGGTTGCTGAAGAAAGATTCCATGAATTGAAAGTCAGTATGAGACTCGAGTCTCAGAGTCAATGTACGTTGTAATTATTGGTAAATATTTCAATTAAGAGTTATCTTTAACGTACCCGGCAGCTCTCTTTCTCCTTCGGCTAAATGTAGATAAAAGATATAGAAATTAAGCACAAGATCACATGGCGCGTTCAATAAGGGGCTGTTCACATGAGCCCGGTAAGCGAGATTTAACGCAGCGTTAGATGTACTCTGAGGGACTGAAATGAGCAGAAGCAATTATGCTGGTGATCGTGTAGTCATCCTAACAATGGTTGGTTGGTTTCAAAACGAATTATTTCAATTCCACAAAATCATCATCTCACGGTTTGTTAAATCTCGGGCAACAGGGTTCATGTGAACGACTCTAAGGGCTGCTTTCCACTGTCGCGTTTTTTGCACATACGTACACGCATGCAGGTAAAAGTTTAAAATCTTTTAAATGATATTAGGGTTTGATCGTCTTCATGATTTGGGGTGTTTTTTCCATGCATAGAATTAAACTTACAACAACTTAGAGGTTTTAAGTATTTATGTGCGTGAGAATGTTGGTCAGATTCCAAAATCAGAAGAAGCATTTTACTGGTTCAGATACGCGGAATCAGAAACAATAATAAAATGGCTCAACATAGCTAGCTAATTTATATCAAATGCTATTTCTTCATGATAACTTGTTGCCTCATACACAGGCACTTTAATAGTAAAATTATAGTAAAATATATAACGTTGCATTCAGTTATTGTATAGAAGTCAACATATTAAGGAAAAGTTCGATTTTTGAATTTCAAAATCATATAGCAAATACGGAATTTTTATACATTTTGAACGTTTTGGGTCTTTCGTTAACTTAGCCAGTCTTGGAAAACACTTTTCTGGGAAAAGGCGGCAATTTGATTTCGCTCTTTGGTAAATGAATAATATATAACACGATTAAAAATTGTTCAATCATAATAGTACAGTTGTGTTTTTTTGAAGAACCCTTCCCAAAATCTTAGTCATTAGACAGTGACATCTTAGTCATTGGACAAAATCAATGATATGTTGAGTGTGACTGTGACTGCATGATACGAATGCATGTCCAACAATCCATGCAATCATTATAATGATGTACATTCATTTGATGATATGGTAAATACGAATTTAAAAAATCAAGCTGGATTGGAACTTACCTAGTGCTAACAAAGAGACCGCACACATTTTCCGTTGTACTGAAACAAAATATGTTCATCCTAGCAGCCACCGTTACTCTAATATCGACCACTACCAACGTTGTAAACTATATAAAACGGTTGGAATATAATTATTATAATGATAAGTATAACTGATATTGCAATCCCGAGGTGCTTATACATTATGCAATTTTCCTTGCATGCAAGAGTGCTCGAAATGTTATAAAAGAAGTCAGCAGAGCGGAATAAAATGTTGTATTTACCAACTTAAGATGTCTCATGCAAGCGTAGAATTGCATTCCAAGTAGCATAAAAATTAGCATAGCGTAACAGCGCCTTTTGTTATATTAATTCATTCCTGCGATCAACTCACTCCATAGTTTATATCCTGAACCTATTCTTATATTAGGGTTGGAACGAGTAGAATTAAATAAACTGCACTAAAAATGTCATAAAAAATTATTTCAGGCTTTGCATCTCCAAAAAGTTATTGCATGCGTTAAACCACCTATGAGTATCTGTAAATTAGATCCTAGAGTATAGTGACAGGAGAATATAACAAAAGGAAAGTAATTGACCATTGCGGGGAAGTAATGGATAACTCCATTTCACCGAAAGTGATGTATACCATTATATTAATGAGAAAAAAATCCTAGCGACATATTGTCCACCAGATTTAGTATGGCAAACATTTAGTATGGCAAACTTTTCCACAGTCAACAGGCGCAATGCATGACGAATCGGCCAAGCGGCTCAGTTTTGCCGCACAACTCACCTTTGCACGTTTAAAATTGAAAATTGTTATTGGCACTAAGTTGTCTCTTTGTGGCGTCGTAAGAACTGGTGTTTCACTGCTTGGCACACTTTCGTCTGGGTTCTCAAGTTCGCTATCTAGAGAGAGAATATCTTCTTGTTCTGAAGTGAATATCGTTGCTAAGACGCTCTTTGGTAACGAGCTACTGCCATCTGGTGGTAAAGTTGCGTAAAACGACAATATGGAATCGGTCCCGTTTTGTGTCGGCGAATCCGGAAGCCTCTGAATGTTGTCAGCGGTAAAAGCGTTGCTGACAACCCTGGCAAAAAAAGATATGCGTTATATGAACTGAATTGATGTGGCTTTTCTAAACACTGGTTTCATCTGCCGCCACCTATTCCTATGGCTATTTTAATTGTTTCCCTGAGGTAAAAATAGAATAACTTACTCTGAAATGTTACAAATATTTCGATGGTATGTTCCTCTCGCGCAGAAAGTCTTGATTGCGTTTGCCATGTTTTCTCGGAACAGTCCATCACGGAGAGACCACTAAAAGAGTTATTTTAAACAATATAAAATCCAAGAAATTTGAGCGTTTGAGCGTTTCGTTCTTATTGAAATTCGTTTTCAGCGCACGTGAACCTTTTGAAGTTTTACAACTTATTCATCACAGCTTCCATACGAATTCATATTTGTAAAATTAAGAATCAAACCTGATCGGCTTGGAAATCTTTCAGTACCACCTCTATTGCATTTTGCGTATTATCCACCGTCGGTGGTTTTTCTGTAACAATCTGGACTGTCGTTAACACAGTGAGCTGTAATCCAGTATTTTGTTGAATAGAAGAAAGTTGTTCATTCATAATTAGAAGAAGAATAGCCTGTGATACAGTTCCACCTCCCGGATACTCGACGAAGAATTCTATTTCAGCATTCGCGCCATTCTGTTCTGGATTACCTGGGTTCACAAATCTCACGTGGGAGCTCGTAAATGGACTTTGACCACTAAAATCATACACATTCACATTTGATTTATATTCCATAAATTATTAGGTTTTTCACAGAATAAATGCAGACATGCAGTGCAGCAGCCTCCCTGTATACTGTAGACTCAGAGGTTCTGAAAATGAACTGGGTAGTCCACATTCTTTGTAGTTCACATTACTTTGGTAGTTCACATTCTTATATAATATTAATCCTATATTGTTTGCTTCTAAGAACTGAACTGATTATCTTAACGCTTCCATATATAGGCTATAGTTACAGTGGAGCAACCTTGTAGAACAGTTTGCCTGGATATCTCAGATTAGCTCCACCACTTAAAGGATCTTTAAAATGCTATTTACCTTACTATATAATATTAATCCTATATTTCCAGCTTTGGTTCAACAGTAATAGAACAAGGTACCCTTTTAGAACAGTAATAGTCTTACCCAAAACAATTTGCAATGAAAACTGAAAATACTAGCCTCGACCCTCTTAATAATCTTATTTCTTTACTATCGGATTCTAGGGAACACAAAAAATTTTTGAACAGGCAGTTTCGAGCAAATAACATTACCTTGGTAGTTCACATTCTTGAATTCGAGCTTGACTTGCTTGACAGTATTCAGTAATCGCCTGTGCTACGTATCCTCGGAAAGTCAAATCTTGTATAGCAGACCACTAAAAACAATTTAATATCCGTTTGAAGTTCTCCTTTTCTATAAATGACAGCTCATTATAGGGCCTTCAATGCAAACGATCAAAGAGACGTCACCACGAGCCCCAAGTTTATTGCCTAGTCTTCGGAATTTGTGTCACTCAAGTCTATAGCTTAGGTTGGCAACCGTGGACAGCCGAAGTGCATATGCAGGCAAAAAAAATTACCTTGTCTGCTTGGACGTTCCCTGCAGATATGTTAACTGCATTTGAAATTTGATTCGCAGTGGCTGTTGACGATGGTCTGGGAGCTAATGTGGACGTTTCTAATGATATATCCAACTTCGTTGCGTTCCTAAGCTGTGCAAGTCGTTCGGCTAAAATTCCTGCCAGTAAATTTCGTTGCACTGTTTTGTTGCCGGACGGGTAATCAACGAAGAAGGTGTAAGTGACATTATCACCATCTTGTACCGGGGAACCTGCAATTCGGGTAACGTTCGATAATCCAAACGACACTTGATCACTAAGCAAAAGAACGAGCTTTATTGAATAAGACAACTTTCACAAGTGAGATTATATCCCAGTAGAGGGAGAACGCTTCTGCCCTATATATAGCACTAATTTACGAAATATCATGCACTTTGAGGCATTTGATTTAAAGAATATTCAGGTTTCGAACGACTAAAGAAAAATGAAAAAATCGGAAACACCTTTTTACTTTCTCCGAGGTAACTGAACATGGTAATTGCATGATTGATCTGTTGAGCAAATTGCGTCTTCACCTTAATTTTGATTTCGAATTTTGAATGTCAAATGGGAGGTGATTCTTGTTCATATGACTGGTTCCAAAACCATTTTTATAAATTATACCGGCAGTTTCCTCATATATGGTCATGAAGCCTTATTCTAATATAATATCTATGTCAGTGATTACGGCCCCGAAACCTTTTTTGTCATCGACCACGTGACAATATATCGGCGACGTATGTGAATTTGGCTTTAGTAATTACAACTACATTAGACCTGATATCGTACCTTGAAGCACCACAGACAACAAGGTTGGCGGCGCAAAAACTTCCAACCTGTGTAGCTATCGCAGCTCTCCACTTGTTATCTATAAAACTATGCCACTGAAAAATAAAGAAAATAAATTATTCTCTTCATTCAAAAGTGCAAGCAATTTATTCACAAAAGCAACGAAAAAATTCACTATATGCATATGTTTCAAACGAGCACGGATTTTTTTATCGTTATTTTGTATCAGTCAAATTACTATCGTAATTTCACCCATTTTACTTGATCGAACAACCGTTTTCTTATATCTCGCAAAAGTCTCATGCAATAATCGTCATTACATACTTGGTTAGCCTGTTGATCAAGGATCGTGATTACGACTGTATTGCTTGATTGGTCGGCATTTGGTGAGGTTGGAGCCGGAAGTTCCAACGATGTTTGCAGGGAGAAGAAGAGTGATGATTCAGATTGCATTGCTTCTATCTCAAGGTAGACGATTGAAGCCAATACATTCTTCGTTATTGGATTACTTTCGCCGGGGTATGTCACGTAGAAACTGTAATCAATATTGTTGCTTCCAGCATTGGTGGGAGTTCCAGCTGAAGAACGTTGAACATCGGATTCACTGAATGATGCTGAGCCTCTGCGAAGTCCAAAAAAAAAGAAACAACAAACGCGATTTAGTGCAGGGGAACCCTCGACGTGCGCTAAGGTTTGCTGAGGTGAAAGAAAATGCATTATGTCTAATAAAAGCAACATTAATTTTTCAACAGATAAAAACAACGGACGACAATATGCAATGGTAACGCTCGTGAATTGATAATGAGTATCATGTACCCGGATTGTACTTGACAGTTCGCCAGATTAGCACTGCAGTATTCAGCAATTCGTTTTGCAATGGATTTCCTTAATCGACGATCATACAAGTGCGTCCACTATTGAAACAAATAAAAAAATAAAATCTATTAGAAGCAGCAGTGCTATAGTACCAAAAATTCAAGAATAACAGGTACAGTACTGTCCAGACTTAACCTAACACTGCGGTTGCGATTCGGTTCAACCTCCGTCTTACCGCGGTTCGACCTCGGTCTGGCCTCGGTTCAACCGCGATCAAACCGTGGTTTGACTTAGGTTAACCGCAGTTTTTGTTTGAGGGAAATGTTTTCAAGGAAAAAATTTCTGGTTCCTTCAGACCAGACCATAAGAAAATTACTTTTAACATTTACAAAAAAGTGAAAAAAAATTCACACTCACGCTTGAGTCTCTACGCGCGTGTTAAAAAGTATCCTGAAAAAAAATTATCATCCCTGGCAATTCTGGGTCGCAGAATCTTGTAATAAACATACCTGACTCGTGCCAAACGATGCTATTCGAATGACCACGCTGTTAGTTGTTTGCTCACTAGTTGCAACCGGAGGATTAGCCGGTTCAGCAGAAGTCTGGATTTCAACTTGTTGTGACAGTGCAATCTCAAGGTCTGTCTCTCGAGTCACTAACATCGAAGCAAGTACATTTCGTAGCACGGGATCCGAACTGCTCGGGTGATCTACATAAAATGAGACCAGGACGTCTCCTCCACTTTGGGATGGGGAACCGCTCAGACGTTTTATGTGACTTTTGTTGAAGCTTTGCGACCTGGAAAGGTGAATGAAGGAAAAATGCGAAGTTGAAATCCAGTGAATATGATTCGCAAAAATCACGCGGGACTAAAAACGGTATTCCTCTCAGAGTTCGATCATCACCATTTTCTTAATCTTGTTTTAATCTATTGATTAGTCTTTTTTTTCGACCGTAGTTAATTTTTTTTTTACATTTCGGTGACGTTTTGACTGATGGGTTTGCATCTGTCGCGTCATTCTACACTGGTTCGCCCTTGGCTAATTCTCAGAAGATTTTTGATTTAAAATTGTTCATTATGAAATCGTTTCATTAAATGACAAGAGTGCATGGTATTTCTAATTATCAAGAATCCTTGGGATATAAGTATATAGCCTATTCTCGTCTTGTCGTGCCTAAAAGCAATACGAATACCGGGAAAAATATGCAGGAACAAATTTTTCTCTGAAGTTTAATTTAACGTTTAGCTACTTACTCGGTAAGACCACAATCTTGCGAGCGCGAGTAGTTATCCATACTGCAGTATTTGTTCAGAGCAAGAGCAACTGATCGCCGAAACACGGTGTCGTAAAATATTGTCCACTGTAATAATAATGATAGAGATCAATGAGACAATAGACCTTTTCGGTAATTATGTCACAACATTTTAACATCACAAGGTCTTAAATCTAGAACCATCTTAAATGAAATGGGTTTCAAGTTTTAATCTCACGAGTCTCGTGCAAAGATGCAAAACATCCTTCTTCAACACATGCATGAAAAATATTTTTTTGTTTTGACCAATAAATGTGCAAATAAGCCACAACACGAGACCGAGGCTGAGTGGCCAAGACCGCGAGCCTCGTTCCAGCGTCATGGCTTATTTCCATACTTGTTCGTCAAAATGAAAAAATATTTTTCATGCACGGGTTAAAGAAGGATGTTTTGCATCTTTGTACATAGCTTGTGAGAGCTAGTAAAACTTGAAATCCATCTCATTTAACGTGGTTCTAAATTTAAAACGATAATGTTGTGATGTAATTACAGAAAATGTCCATTGAGATGCTGGTATCTTACATTTCGAGTGGACTATATTGGGATGTATTTGTTTAATTGTTATATACCTGATTTGGCGAAAAATCTAATATTTTCAGTTGTACTGCGTTACTAATCTCATTCGCAGTTGGAGTACCAGGCGTTTCGGGTAGGACGGAAGTGTCCAGGGTGACGTTTAAACTGATCAGCTGTTCAAACTTTGCCAATTCTGCGAACACGATAGAAGCTAAGATGGTTTTGTCAAGCGTCTTGTTTGTGAATATGGTGCTGGGATAATCGACGTAAAACCTGATTATTGCGTTATTCCCCGAATCCTCCGGGTAACCAGGCAACCGCTTAACGAGCTTCTCGTTGAAAAATAGCTGGTTTCTATAAAAAAACACAGATAACCAGTGCAAATGTCAATTCGTTTTTTAACATAAGATTTTGATCCACGTATATGCAGTCGTAGTCTACGCTATAGTTATCAGCGTAAGTTTCCTCGACAAGAAATCAAGGTTTATACATGAAAACATGTTTTTAAAAAACTCATATAGCATACAAACGTATTTTTTAAAAAACTCATATAGCCAACACTATAATAGTATTTTAAGAGATGTGTTTATCGATTTAAGTTGCGGGATGATGCATGAAACGTTTTCTCTCGTTTAAAGGATATTTTACGATACATCATCCTTTTTGGAGCTTTTTGCGGCCATGGTATAGTTATCTCGATTTTCTGTGGCATCTCCGAACAAAAACTTCCCTAAACCGAATCCTTAACATCATTTGCTTAAACTTTGTGAAAATATTTTATATTTGTTCGAAAATATTTTAAAAAAAAATTGGGGGCTTTTTGTCAGATATTCCGACATTTGTACGGCGGTTGAGGTATACAAAGAGTTCCGAGCAACGCTCCCAGGTTGAAGACCGGAATAGTTCAAAGACGAGCGGAAAGATATATTTTTGACGTTTCTTTTACAGATTTCACACATTAGATATGTTGCATGCCTTTGTGCTATGAAAGAGAACACGCGAGACTTCATAGTTTTTCCAGTTAGGGGATGTCACATAAACCTATAGTAGTGTCTTGATAAGTTTAATAAATAGTACAAATAACGATGGTAATCACGATCCTGAACACCCAACTATAGCTAAACTTACTGTTCAACTCCGCAATCTTGTGGCCTGAGCGTGTTCTCATTACAAAAGTCATTCAGCAATTTAACAACAGAGTCTTTAAATAGCACGTCAGCATCCAAAGTGTACTAAGCAATATCAAAAAGAAAAAACGACGCAATAAATAACTTTATAAATTTGCATAGTGGCAACTATATACATAGATAGAGGGATTGTGTATTTTTGCACTTTGAATGCACAATTAAGGCGAGAATGGAAAAATAATTAACAAAAAATCTTTTAAGGTGAATTTTTTCAAAAGTCTTACAATAAGTGAAGAAACTTTGAGACTCTGAGACTGATTTTATTTGTGCATTATGAAGCAAGCGTTTCAGTTTTTCTAAACTTACATTTGAGTTCTGATAGTCAGCCAACGTGATTTGAACGGCGTTATCTATCTGATCTTGTCTGGCGCTTGGCGGTGCTGGAGCCAGATCAGCCACAATGTTGTCATCTTCTTTGACTAAAAAGTGAGCAAAATTTATTTTAATCACAGTAAATAAGATTTTTAAAATGATAAATATACTATAGTAGATATCGTGGGACACCTAAAGTCGCTATTTTGCCTAGCATGAACGGGATAGAAAACTTTTCGTGCACGAATTTAAGGGGAATGAGAATTTTAGTTTGCTCAGAAAAGTCACGCAAAAAGTTTTGCATATATATTCATAAGAGAACAATACAACAGAACAATAAAACAATGGGATAAACATATAGGACCCTTTTTGTTTGCTCCAGGTAAAACTCTAATTAATAAAACTTTTCGTTGACTGATTCTCGCGTTCTTAATATATTTTTTGAGAGAACATATTCTCGATTAGGGAGACATTCCTTGAAGTTTGCATCCCTTGAAATTTTAAAAACAGAATAAATCGTGATTTTTTTGTATAACTGAGACCACCTTAATCAAACACGGGCCTCCCCCGGCCTCCTTCTAAACACAACCCATGCATGATGTAAAATATATACACGCGGGACCCAACCCCGAGGTACTTACATATACACGTTCCATTAACTCTAACCATGTTCAACCTCTTTGCACAACCGCATCTAAAACTTCCGGGAATATTTTCGCATTCTTCCCCCACCCCGTTACAGACGTTCGATTGATCTTCAAGACATTCGTTCTTATCTGAAAATGTGGTGAATATTATTTATAAAAACCATGCACGTACATAACCAAATTTGAAGATTGTCTGAAATCTGTGATCTCAAAGGATCTCCGGCTCAATCTCACTGTCCCGCGGATATGTTTTTATGATCGCAGCATTGCTATAGATTATATTATATTGTCAATCTTGTTTCTAAGGTCTTTTAAATTGTTAAATCTTCTTCGCACTTGTCAATATTAACATTATGGATCTTGCATAATTTGCTTTCCGGTATTTTGTTGAAACGGCAAAATAAGCGGTCAACCATCGGATAGAGAATACGATTGAAAAAAATCTGCATGGCTAAATGTTTGAACGAATGCTAAATGAAAATGTTTAATGGTGTTGAGACGGCTTTTTCAACGTGTTTGCATGGAGCCACGCACGGGTTTGCATGGACCAATATGAAGTTTTTCAGAATCATTTGAACGAAAATCTTAAGCGCTTAAACGCCTGTACTGATAATGCTTAAACGCCCCTACTTTGATCGTTCGTCAACAAAAGTGTGTCAACGTATGTTTTCTCGCAGGCATGCAAGAAGGTCATGCACATTTGAAACAATTATTGTTGTTTTACAAACCTTCACAAGAAGTTGGGCCCGTGGAAACATATCCCGACAAACATGAGCATGTGTAACTGCCGATGGTGTTTTTACATTCTTGATCACAAAGGTTGCCTTGTGTGGTTGCACATTCATCTACATCTAAAATGCAAGGGAATTAATATTTAAGTAATAACATGTGCAGTACATGTATCCTTGGCGCTAGCGCGTATTCAGCTTTTGCTGCGATGCATGTAATTTGAATAAACGTCAATCTCATTAAAACAGTTAATCCTCATTTAACATAACATAACACACTTAATATAACATAATACATATCTTATAATATATATTCTATACCTTATCAAATATAATATATAAGAGATCCTCTTAAACAGAAGTTTAATGTGATTGATATATATATATTTAATATTACTACATTCAAAGGTTGGCAGGTAACTAGAAACTATATAACCTTCACAAGTTGTTGAATCCGTTGCAAGACGGTATCCAAGGTTACAATCACATTTCTCCTGTCCAACCTGGAGCGGATCAATAAAACAAATCTGCTGACATGGATTGCTTTGATCACATTGCGTTTTTGCTGAAAAGAAATGTAACTTAATGTTAATTTTTCACATTCGATTGTTTCAATCTTCTTGTTCAGAAGAACAATAGAGCCCGTTTTCCACTAGGCGAATTTGATATCCGAAATCCGGTGATGTGATTGGTTTGAGAAAAAATTCGCCGCGAAAAAGTAGAATCGCTCCCTACTTTTTATCTGTTTGCGCGGATAAATTCGCCTATACAGTGGAAAACGTGCTTTAAACGTGAGGCAATTTTTTCTTTGCAGGTTTCTTCTAAATATAATGCACCTAATCGAGCTCGAGTTAACTCGCGGTAAAATAAATATATTACATATTACCTGTACAAGACTTGGCGTTGTCAGGATCGGTCAAGAATCCGATCCTGCAATAGCAATTATATGAGCCGATTGTGTTGTTGCACAGCTGACTACAGTCGTTGGCTTTGGCGCATTCATCTATGTCTATACGAGAATAAAAATATATTAATATTATTAAAGTCTAAATGTAGCTACTTAAAAATTTGTTTTTTACAGTCAGTAATATTGTTTCCGGTTTGAACACTACAAAGTCATTTTGTGTCGCCTGTGGCATATTAGGTAACATGTATGTTCTTTATAGGCTAATAGTTAAAGAACAATTTGTTTGTGATACATGCTCGGCAACACTAAGATGAATTGTTAATGAATTGTATTCTAATATACAAACGTATATGTAACCTTACCATTACACGTTTTTCCATCACTCAAATCTAATGAGAATCCATCATTGCACCCACAAAAGTAGGAACCAGCTGTATTGGTGCACTTTTGGTCGCAAACAGTCTGATTAGCTCCGCATTCATTGATATCTAAAATAATGTTATAAGATGGCATCCATGCACTTTCTCTATTTTTGTGCTCAAACCAATCTGTTTTGGAATAAACGGGCTTGCAAACAATATTAGCTAAAACGTCCAGATACCTTTTGAGAACATTCTACTCAGTCAGGTTTATAAATTTGCTACCATGCAGCCAATCAGCAAAATACTACAGAGCATTGGTTTTCATTCACAAGAAAATTAATGACAACTGCATAGAAATATAATCTTCATGTGTGTGTAAAACAGTAAAAGACCCTTCATAAAAAGCTAAAAAATACTAAGAGATGATGAAAATTGTTGTACCAACCACTACAAATAGCTCCATCGCCTTCGTATCCTTGAGGGCAAGTCCCGCAAGTGAAGCCCGTCGGAGAGTTGGCGCACGTGACCAAAGGATGACACGGCGGTGTCAAATGTCCCCTGCAGAAATCTTTTACGGTTTCACAGAATTCCCCAGTGTAACCAAGCGGGCAATTACAGGACATAACGAGAAAAGTATTTTTGATAGCTGCCGTTTGTTCTGACGATGCTTCAGGAACAAAGCATCCGCTACCGTTTAGACACCGGCAGAGTTGGATGTATGGAGAAAGCGTCGTACTTGCGTTTTTTGTATCTTGAACCAAAAATGTTATATTGGCCTGCGAGTAGAAGAATATAACTAGTTTAAATGGTGACAAAACTCACTGCAATTTTTTTGGGAGTGGTCCCCTATTTTTCAAAGAACTTTAAAAAGAAAAGTAAAATCGAATAATTTTATATAGCTGCACTTTTACGAGGAGACGCTGTAGTGAATTTAAAAAAATGGATTTGCAGAGTTTCTAAGAGAGAACATTTGGGTTATTAAAATTAAATGAGTAAATTGGAATTTTTGCTAGAACACAATTCTTCGTGTGAGAATGCAATACATACTGGATCAGGAGAATCTACATGCCAAACGAAAGTCAATTGATTGCCATTCGTTGTATATGTTGCACCAGGTGGAAAATTTGGAACGTCAAACATAATATCATCGCCATCCGGATCTTCGGCTTCAAGTGTTATTGTGAATGTCTCTCCTAAGGTCACGTTGATGACAGTCAAATTTTCTTTGAATACCGGTAGATTATTTTCTGTGAGTAGAAAAAAATTATGTTGGAATACGAAACCTGATGAGTCGGAAAATATAGTCATTGTACTGTTATGTATGTATATATATATATATATATATATATATATATATATATACACATATCTAAGTGTGTAACTATATTAACGCCGTTATTTAACGCCAACTACTTGCGACTCGTTTTAGGATTAAACCATATGTTATTTTCCCCTCATATAACCTCTTTTTTTACGTATTGAATGATCAAGTCTATATATGCACAATAGTTAGCATGAAAAGCTCTTCAATACAAAGAGAAAAATATTACTGCACCAAGTAGCTATATACTAACCAATTTCTGCGACTTCATTGTTTATAGACGTGATTTCTGTCAGCGTTGATTTTCCAACTGCAACATCGTTTGTTGCTGCGATGTCAAAAAGACAGGTGACATCATTACCACAAACACTTTCAGCTTCTGCTCTCAATGTTTCGTTCATATCATTTATTGCTTGGTCAAAAAATATTGGAACAAAATTGCTTGGACATTTGTACGCAGGTGTATCATCATCTATGTTTTGGTATATTTTTTCGTCTTGATTCACTCTCCCTAAGGATTAATAATGGTAATTGCTCTGAGTGGAGTGCAATTTGGTGTGGATTTTGTAATCACAAGTTTGATTCCACACCAAAATTGCACGACCCGAAGTGCAATTTTGGCTGAAAGAACCGTAAACGGTGTAATATGTAAGTAATTTTCATCTATTTTTGTCAAGAAATTTTGCAGGGCATTTGAAAAGACAAAATAATAAAATTATGTTCCATTTTCCCATGCAATTTGATTGGACAGTTACACTGAAATACTAAATCTGATTGGTAATTGTGGTGCAGAGCTTCAATCTTATTGGTTTATAAATGATGTGATTAATGCTCAAAAATAGTGCGATTTGGGAATTAATCACACTATTTTTAACCAATCAGATTGCAAAAACACCATTGATTTCAAAATGAATATAATAAAGATCTATATTGCATCAATTTCTCATTATGGTGCATTCAGAATATAGCAATCTGCCTATAGCAATGTACTTACACGCTTCCCCGAACTTATGAAATATATCAGAGTCACTCAAATCAATTGGTAAAGCTGTTCCATTTGGTAACGTGAAGTCGTCCTCTATTTTTCCATTCCATTTTCCTGCTAATCCAAGTGATGAGTTCTCGTACGATTTCAAAAACGATGTCACGAATGTAAAAAAAGTGCCGTTTGCTGCTTCATTGATTCTTACTCCATTTCCAAGTGGTGTTCCAACCTCAAATGTGTTGTTGACATAAGATAGAGTAACACCACTCTCTAGTGTTGTTGCATTTGAACCCGGAGTGAACTCATTACCATCAACATGCACACGCAAACCACCTTAATAAATAAGGAGAAACTTTATTACTATAGAATAGCGTTCTTGTTTGAATTTGTTTGTAATGTTTTTTTATTTGATGGAAGTGTAGTAGATTTTGCAAAACCCGTCAAAACATGAATTATTAATTTCTGCCAGCCTGTTTTCATTTCTGGAATGGTTTTAGTTTCACATGCACATACCTCCTTCGTTTAGGTTTATTTGAACGGTTTCCGAATTACCCTCCTTGACAGCAATTCCTGTAAAGCCAGTTGCATTAACATTTCCAACCCTTGTTGTGCGAACTTGCACCACAAGAGAGCTGTCGTTGGTACCTGTTTAAAAATACAGTTGAATAACAAAAAATAAGTTATTGTTTTCATGGGCTTCTAAAACCTGTAATCTTTTATGTTAAACTCAAAATTCACATGAAATCACATGTGACATTTCACATCTCATTGAAAAGATTTCACATACAGTCACATGTGAGATGTCATATTATGTGAAAGGATTTCACATAAGGTCGCATGTAAGATCTCACATGTGAAAGGATTTCACATGAAATTGAAAGCGAAATTTCACATGTGAAAATATTTCACATAAAGTTACTTTATATAAATTTCACATGCCAAAGGTTTCACTTATAATCATGCATACCAGGCAACCACTGTTAAAAGGCAGTTAGCTTAATCGCTGTTTGTTTCTAGAGTTTAGCCATTGAAGTCACGTGTTACGAAAGCATGAAGTTTTTGTAAACAATGCTTCACGGTTTTTTATATCTGAACTTTCGAGTCTTAAAGAGTAAGAGTGTTAAAAAACTTCTAAGCATAAATTCATCAATCATGAAACTTCCTCTTTCACAGGTCAACTAACAATACTATATCAGTATAGCAATGAGCAACTTATCATCCTGCAAGACGGTATAACTGCAACAATTTCAATAGGAACCTTCCGCTATCTGGACAATGATAGCTGAAAAGGCCCTCTTTCACCATAATCGGAATGGACAACTCGCAAGCTCGCTTCGTGAGAATACTTAATTTGTCTTGACTTAAGTACCCAAGTTGCGATCCTGAAAAGAGCCTTAGATCAAGGAGATTTGATGAATTTGATGAAATACTAAATAAATATTCAAAACTCCCTAATGGGAGGGGGTTGTTGTACTAAATCTTTACAGTGATCTTTTTTAAAGCCTGGTTCTCATTATTCAATTTTATCCACAATATTTCATGAAGGTACTTTTTTCTCCAGTGTTAATCGCCGACTGTTGATGACCTCGGAAAAGCTTAAATGATGCATGGCTCAATATAGCTTCGAAAAACGATTCGATCGAACGCCAACTATTTTCAAATGCTGCATTTTTGTTAGAAGCATTTCTGACCTGGCATCTCGCCTTTGAAATACGTAAACCATCCACAGCCATTGAATGTGTAGTTTTTGCCATCGAGTGAAATAAAGTGTGGATCACCAAACATGCGCCCTAAAGTAAAATGGTTTAATAAGATTTTACAGGCAAAGAAAGAAACTAGGGGAACGCGATGTTATTATCAAGGCTACTTTTCATTATGGCAAGTTTTAGAGTATGAGTGATTGAAAAAACAAGGTCATAGTAAACAAAGAAAGACCAAACGCGGGGCTACTGAGAATCATATACCACCAAATCCAAATTGAAACACGTTAAAACGTATACTTGAGAGATATATGTTGCTGTTTTATGGTTTTTGCTTCGGTATAAGGCAATAAAATTCATTAACAAAGCGTAGCTACATGACCATGCAGCAACAATGACTTACCCCATATTGACGGGAATCTCCAAAAGAAACTGGTGCATGGCGGGCGAATACTGTAAAATTCCGCGCACGATTGCTGAGTGCTATCTAGTTTGGTGCAGCAATTTTCGTAAGCGGTCTCCTCCTCCAAGTACTTTGGGAAGTTCCGGCGCGGATGGTATCGATGCCAGCGACCTGCACCTGGTCGTGGCCTGCTGTAAAGGGGAAAGCCAAGCCACCAAGCATTTAGGTAACAGCATTCGTCTGCACTTTCCTGTCTCCAAAAAGGACTTAGTATACAAAAGGTGTCAATGAACCGGAAATCTGTCCTTTTAAACCTACGCTGTAATGCCCAGAAAATTCCGCGCCAACCAAACCGGGCTAATCTAAGCGTGGGGGCACATCGTGGCCAACAAAAACGTCTTGTATTTCTACTGAAAATCTGTTCATTTACCCACTTCAGACATAGTTCAGCACTTGTTGGAGGCCTTATGACCATATTTTTGAGACTATACCCAATTTCGCCGCGCCTTAGTAAGTTGGGATCAAAATAATCATCAACCTCTTCGGCGTTGACAGTACCGGAACTAATGTAAGACAAGAAAAAAGGCACACCTAAGAATTTTTAAATTTTTATGTAACTTTATATATAAATTATATAGACTATATTAAAATTCTACAGAAAGGTTTATAAAGTTATATATCCTGGCCAAATATTATTTTTCACAGAATAAACTATATGGCTATATAGCTATATGCTTGCCACTGACCACTGTAGCTCAGTGGCAAAAGCATTGCACCGGCATCGCAAAAGCGTAGGTTCGATTCCTGCCGGAGGACCGTATTCCTGCCGGAGGACCGTAGGCCGTATGTAAAGATATTTTATATATTGTCTCAAATAACTCCATGCATGCAGTCATAACACATCATGCAGTCATCAAACACAAATAATTTTCCTACATTTATGAAAAGTTTTAACAATCAAAAGAGTTTTTATTTTAAAAAATTTAAGTGTCTTCAGGCTTTTATAGAACGTATGGAACGTTCAGTGAAGCAGGAAATAATTGGAAATGTTTTGGTCGTTATTTGTAATAATAGAGTAAAATACCTATTATACCACGCACTGAATAATTGTAATCAATAATCCTCTGTATATCATCAGTAATTAGCTTCTTGCAAGGGCTTAAGTTGCGGTCTTACCTTTCATAATTCTTGTACGGCTCTTCGTCATCTTTTTGTCCAGAATTATAACCGACAACAGGCAAGTCACTCGTTTCGGCCCAATTTGAGTACATGTCCCTAGTTAACACAAGAATGATCATGTATAGCTGTTGTATACACTGCACAGATATACATGCACATGCATATATACAGTGGCAATTGTGATATGATCTATAATCAGCTATAACTTGGCTACGTTACCTGTTCACTCCGATTGACCAGTCAATGTCCTTGTAAATATAGACGACAAGTGCCTGATTTGACCTACTAGTAGCCAGGAATAGTTGAAAAGTGTTTCTCTAAATGTTGACAGAGAATATCGCTACAGCTATTTGCAAGGCACCGTTAACCGTGAAGTTTTTATCACGTTTGTTTACGCTTCAAACTTTTTAAAAAATTCAAAACAAAACTTTAATGTAATTTATGATAAAATTAACTATATACATATTTAAAAGAATTCTAAATAAAACTAGATCAAAATTAACTATTCTAATCACCATGCATTTTCAAATGGGCTGTTTAAATTCTTCGAAAGTCATAATGATTGTTGTTCTTCCTAATTTTTTTAAAAAAGAAGTACTTCGCACGTAAGGTTCAAACTTTTAGGTTTAACCGGAAATGTTGAATGTTAAACTATGAACCAATCAGTTACCACTCGATTTAGGTAAATTCTAAAGGTTTTTAAAGGGCCTTAATTTCGAGTGGAATACACAAACTGAATCCAAGCCAGGAACAGTTGAGGAAAATTAGTCTCAACTAGCAGTCCCCGGCAGAAATCAAACCTACGCCTGTGCGATGCCGGTGCAGTGCTCCCGCCACTGAGCTACAGAGGTAGCTGACAAGAGCAAGTGTGGTTAGTGTGTATTCTAAGGTACGATTTTGTGGCACTTTTGAATCAGGTTACATGCACTGTGATATTTCGACAGTTTTGACAGGTTTCCGATTAAATCCAAAAGTGTGAAACGTAAACAAACGTGATAAAAACTCCACGGTTAACGGTGACTTGCAAATAGCTGTATAATAACTTATTATTGACCGAGTTTGAGAGATCTGTACTCTAAAATATAAGTTCGAGGTTTTTAGTATGGACCGAGCGACGAATTGCGAGGCTGAACTGCATGAGACATCCGGAATACGGAAGATGCGGACCACGGTCCGGATATGGGTTTTTACGGACCGCTCGTCAACGAATCAGAACAGAGGATCTTGAAAAGCCATATAATAAGAAATTTTATCTCTTTTCCTTGCGGTCCGAATTCATATTTTAGCGTTTCCTGCAATCTGATCGGCTACGATCTGTGTACCGAAGTGTTACCCGGATATTTTTAGCGGTGATGTTACCATGTTTCACCCATGGAAGAACTCATTTAAGGCTATGATTCGTGACGCTGACATATCGAAAAATGTGGAAGCGACCGTCATCTGGCATTGCTTCACGGAGATAAAATGAAGAAGGAAAATACCCACGAGGGGATCGGCTCTACCTGTACGAAGTTGTGGGACAGGAAGAAAGGCGGACTTTTGTGCAGCAAAATTGTTCTTGTCGAACGAATTCTATTGTCTATTGTCTATTGTCCAACGAATCCTGATCAAATTCAAACCGTGTACGCCTTGGTAGACGAACAAAGCAATGCTTCGATGATATCTCCAGAACTCACAGACTAGTTGAAAATCTATTCTGAGAAGAAAAAACTATTTCCTTTCCACCTGTAGTGTTTCGAACGAGATAAAATACGGACGACGCGTTCCTGGTTTAACCGTGTCATCATTGGGTGGAAAATCATGAAATCTACCGACATTAATTGAGTGTGAAAAATATCCCAAAAGATAAGCGAGAAGTTCCCACAGGAGAGACGATGTCACATTTTCCTCACCTAAAGAATACAGTAAGAGAAATTCCTAATCTTGATCCAAAAGCGAAAATTTCTATTCTTATCGGACGTGACGCCCCGGCCCCGAACTACTTGAAGTCAGAGAATTCATCAATGGTCCAAACGGAGCTCCATGGGCCCAGAAATTAGCCATTGGCTGCACAGTTTGTGGACAATTGTGTCTTGATCATATCGATGGAGCAGTTCACGTCTCAACGCATCGAACCGCGATCGCCACCCAGAATGACCTTCCATCGAGCAGCTCTAATGATCGAGAACAAGGTGTCAGTCGCTTGAACAGCCTGCTTCGTTCTTTCTCATGCAAACCAAAAAAGAAAAGAGATTATTTGGAATTCATGGAGAGACAATTGAGACGAGGTCAGGCCATCCCCGTCTCGCAAGACAAAGAAATTTTCCACAACAATTATGATGGAAATAAACCCAACAAAGTTTGGTATCTGCCCCACTTTAGAGTGTACCACCTCAAAAAGAAAGAGCAGATACGAGTGGTGTTCGACCCATCTGCCGAGTTTGGCGGAGTTTCTTTAGACAAAGAGTACTTCCCGGTCCGCATGTTTTAAACAGACTTCATGGGTGGGATTCTAATCCGCTTTCGTCTAGAAACTACTGGGATAATGTGCGACATTCTACGTAGCTCCTAAGCATAGAGATTCATTGGTTCGAGGGAAACGACTCCACCAAAGAAATGATCGAATATCACATGGTTGTCCACCTGTTTGGTAATACCTGAAGCCCTGCAATCGCAACGTATGGTCTTAGGAAAACAGCGAAAGAAGGCGAGGAAAAATACGGACGTAAATCAAAGAATTTCTACGTAGTTGATGGATTAACGTCTTTAACTACTACCGAAAAAGCGATTACCCTAATTAAAAACATCCAGGCTATGCTCGCTGAAACCAACCTACGATTACATAAAATTGTTTCAAATTCTACTGCAGTTGTCGAAGCGCTGCCGAAACAAGATCGCGCGGCAAACATTCAAGATCTCGACTTAACCTATGACCCCCTACCGATTCAACGCTCTTTGGGAATGCAGTGAAATAAGATACCTTTACATATAAAGTATCCTTACAGATAAATCTTATACTCGTCGAGGAGTCTTAGCAGTTTTCAATTCAATTTATGATCCCCTCGGCGTCGTTACTCCAGTTACTTTGAAAGGAAGACTTTTACTTCGAACACTCTTACTATGGGAAATAAAGATCGTGCTGGTCAATTCTCGATAGTCAATTTTACGGAGAGCAATTGCAAATCTGATTGTTAAAGCAAAAGAGTTCAAGAGAAGATGTGAAGTATTCTCTGTAAAGAATATTAGTACAACGAAAACAAAACACACAAACCGTCAACTGCCACGCCTACCAACACCTGATGAACTAAACCAACTGGAGCAAACAATAATCAAAGCAGTTCGGTATCAAGAAGTTATTGAATGCTTCTTGGGTTGACACCTCGTTCGCTTTCGCGGCACGACACGTACGTGTTGCCCGGCTAGCAAAAAAGAGCTTCGATATTCTCTGGCACAGCTAACATTCACTGAAAAATGAGTAAACGTGCGACGTTGCACAATCCATCAAAGTTTTAAGAAATTTGGTCCACCATGTTTGCATAACAAACTCGCAATTTAATTTCCAAAGGTTAAAAAATCTAATTATTTACTCCCTCAATCGAAGCTTTTTGTAAGAATTGCTTCAGCAGCAGGGCTCTGTCACAGTTTACAATTTTGAAAAATTTTTGCCCGGTCAGAAAAACAAAATGGCGTTATTAAAAAAATTATAAATAGTATATGAACATTTTTCCTGTAAGTTTTATCACGTTCCGTGATTGATTAAATCTATTACAAAATATTTATACTTTTTTTATTGCGAACTTTGTGGATTTCGGCTAAAAAATGCATCTTCAAAGGGCGTGCACAGTGAACGGAAAAGATACTCAGGCTTCAATGGCTCACAAAAAGTATGTAAACAGAAGAGAGCACGAATTTTGCACGCGCACGCCAGAGCGGAAGTGTCCTCGATCGATCGTACATATATAACGCTTTAAGTCCTTTGTATATACGCGAAAGATTTATACATTAACTACGTTTACTTACGCCAAGGTATGTAGCATCACCGGGTTGCTTTGGTCGGAGATCGACCCAAGTTATGACCGTTACCCAAAGGGGATCGTAGTTTGCTCCCTTTAGGTCTTCTTTCCATAGGCTATTACCATACCCTCTAGCTTTTGAGAACACGCCACGAGGGTCGTCATTTTGATCTTCATATTTCCTGAAAAATACCTTCGACTGTCCATTTTCAAAGTAATCTAAGTCAACAGAGGACCAGTATGGTGCTAAACAAGCCGCGTCGTTTTCTTGTTCGCCATAAGTACCGAAATTTCGAGGATTTAATTCGTATTGGCGATCTTCAAATTTTACCAACCCATTGGCACAAACCTATATAAAGGTATTGAAATTTATATAGAATACTTTATATAGGAATAACCATACAAGACAAGTATATACTTGAGGTGGTTTCCCACTTCAAGGGAAGCTACTTGAGGTGGTTTCCCACTTCATGAGAAGCTAATTGAGGTGGTTTCCTACTTCATGAGAAGCTACTTGAGGTGGTTTCCTACTTCATGAGAAGCTACTTGAGGTGGTTTCCTACTTCATGGGAAGCTAATTGAGGTGGTTTCCCGCGTTATACGCCATAACTGCATGCATATGCTTCCAATTCGTTTGGGGAGACCTAAACTATGTATATATAAATGTATATATATATGTTCTTTCTCTTACATAGGCTTTAGTAAAACCTTTTCCTTTAAAATTGCAGCCAAGAAAGGGTAGATTGAGTAGTTTGCATTGAGCAGTCTTCTGTACAGTAGTGCTTGAACCATCAGATGCGACCTTAATACTGAATGTGATTTCATTGTCGCCAGTGTAATTGACCAGTCGATCTGCAAGAAAGCATAGATAATTGGAGGGCACGCAACTCAAAATTATATTTAGTTCCAAGTTTCAAATGCTCGAATCCCCTAAAATTCAAACGTAATAACTAAACTTTTTTTAATAAGATATATTTCGTCGTAACTACTAACTCCTCGTAATTCACATGCATGTCGTAAATCGTCGTAATTCGTTGTTATGCAAAGTGCGACTAAAGAAAACCAAACTATACAACAAATTACGACATGTGAATTATGACGAAGTTTGTCGAGTTATGTCACATGAAAACTAGCTATGAAAACTAATATTTTAGTGACATGTTTTGTGAGAATCGATTAATGAAAAACCAATGGACACTTACCATCTCCGAGACCTGTTTCTGTACTACCTTCAAACTCCCCATTTCCCTGACCTATATGACACACGAAAGAAAAAAAAATTAACCGTCGAATTAATATTTGACAAAAATTTTGTCCAAATTTTCTAGGTCCAAACGTTTCTGGCGTGAAAGCTGATGTACAAGTTAAGTATATTGCAATACAAAATTAAGAAAATAGCGAAAAATTAACAGCTAAAAATAACTAAACAGCCCTGAAGGAACTTTAATATAATAAGGCGAAAACGTATTTGAAAATACTGTCAAAATACATGCATAACGTTGAATAAAAATCTGGCAGGACTGAATTTTGATAAGAAATTAGCATTGCTTTAGAAATAATGTTTCAAAAAATCTCGATGAAGCGCTAAAAACACTTGCACTTAATGTCAAAAAGATATTAAACAATAGAAACTCCGTAAAATGTAATATAATTTAAAAAATATAATTTTCGACGTTTAGGCTAAGCTATATAGTCATCATCAGTCAACAGGGAAATATAATGATTATTTGATAACGACGAAAATTATATTTTTCAAAATGTTCATGATCATGATTTAGTTATCTTTATTAATGCGAAGTGAAAATAACGAAATAACGTGAGAAAACGAGCCCGTACTCGTTCTCCCAAACTCCCATGCACGCGTGTTTTTATAATTATAACTGTATATAGAAACACGAAAAATGTTTTCTATTTCTTAAATATTTTATGAACATATTCAGTGGTCCCCGTAAAGCTAAAAAGAATTGCCCGTAATATCACTCGTATACTATTCAGTATCCCATATTGTACTCGCCATGCATCGTATAATGATCTATACTACCAGCTAGTCTATTAAATAAACGGTAAACCAGTCAAAAATCGAAGGAAGTCCAAAATGACAGTAATTCTAAAAATGATGAACACATAAGCGGCTCGTAAAAATTAACCATGCAACACTGGTTAAATGAAAACAAAGCAAGTAGTGTTACGTAGTTGATGTTAATTATAGGAGTTTGATGGATAGTTTGGTAATTAGTATAGAAAGCAACAGAGGTTTAAAGGCATTGGAAGGTTTATAATAAAAGCATAAAATTATATGAGACTGTGAAACTATGAAAGGAGCAAAAATAACAAGAGTTCAACATGACTGATCAGTGACAGTGATCTGACAGTGACTGACTTGCCATCGTCTGGACGAGTTCATCTTGGTAACTGATCACAAACCCTTGGAAGTCATATACGGAAACCGTCAAGCTATATAAGACATCAGCCAGAAGTGAACGATGGATACATACTTCGCCTCCAGCCCTGTAGACTCAGGATATAGTTTACAAATCTGCATGGTGCAGCAAACCCGGCAAGAAAAAGTGATGGAAGAGCAATACATCAACCTTATTGTAACCAAATTCCGACGGAACATTGAGAGGTCTGCGTGCAGCAATACGGAAAAAGAATTCACGTGTCAAGCATTTTAAAGCCATCAAGAACGAACTTACTGTCACCTCAAATGGAATCATCATTCGCGGAACAAGAATCGACATGTGAATTATTTATACAAAACGTTGCAACAAAGGGCAATAAACATCGCTCACGAAACTCATCTCAGTATTGAGAAGACAAAAGGCCTTTCATTGTTAAAGAAAAATATGGTCTCCTCAGATAGATAGCATAAAGAAGTTGTGACTTGGGCAACAGAATGCTCCAGAACCACAAGGAACGACAAGTATGCCGGAACATCCCTGGAGAGTTTTAAATATCAATTTCATGGATCGTTACCGTCTAATGATTACCTTCTTGTTCTCGAAGCGGTAGATAAATATTTGAGATTCCCAGAAGTCGAAATACTAAGCTCAACGAAAGCATCAGCTGTTCATGGTGTTCCAGAAATCATAAAATCTGATAATGGACCTCCTTTTAATGGAGAAGAATACAAGCGATACCTCAAAAGCGTTAAGAATAAAACCAGATTTTATCACACTTAGATAATTCAGTTATAAAATACCTAATTAAGCAACTATAGAACCTAGATACTCCAATAATAATCTGTGTGATGGACACAAAAAATATACATTTCGCATAGTTGTAATTTCTCAACTGAAACGAAAGGGATTGTATAGTGATAGTTAATGATGAAAAAATAGTAGTGTCTGATGGAGAACTATAAAAATAGATAAGCATGACTGCATGTTTGGAATAAAAAAAAAACAGGTGCCAGTTGTTCAAAGCTGGGTTAGCACTAGTTTATACTATTTACTGACCGGAATCGCATGGTCGCGACAGTAAAATTGCCATATCAAAGCAATTTTTATCCCCATATGTATATTAGTAAATATGGGGAGAAAAGTATATACCCTCGAGTTTGGACCCGAGATGGTGTTCGAATTAAATTTCGGTTTATACTATTCATTTGGAATGTTATTCCTTGTTTGATGGAACTGAAGCATAAAGTTTGTGATTTAAACGCTGCCAACATTGCAGTGGATACCTACGTAATAATTTATACATTTCCACAATAACTGCATGTCGTTTTTCTTTTCCAAGTTTATATTCATTGGGCCGGTTGTTCAAAGGTGGGTTAGTGCTAACCTTGGTTAACATTTAACCTATTGCTATTTTAGTTCATGTATTTTGCCAAAATATAGACAGTCAAAATCATCTGCACAGTGTTTATTTGGCAAAATACATAAACTGACTAATATGGCAGGTTAAATGTTAACCAAGGTTAATCTCGCGGTCTCCCATGAAACAAGGAAAGGCATTTCAAATAAATAGTACACTCCAATTCGAAATTTAACCCGAGCACCAACTCGAGTCCAAGCTCGCAGGTAGGCCTACCTTCCACTCGAAAAATACGGAAATACAATTATAACTTGGAATTTAACTCGAACCCAAACTCGTATCTCAATAATCCAAACTCGATGTTTCGAGATTCCCGAAAATAGTTAAAAAAAAGTTAAAAAGGTTTTATGGGTACAGATATATTGTAATACAACTTAAACTGCATCGCCCTTCATTAATTTGGGCGTGTTCACAAACATACGTGTATGGTTTTAAAAAATGTTTGAAATAGCGCATTTAGCACTACTGATACAAGTTATTGTATCAAGTCATTAATACATGATTCTTATTTGAAGATTTATAGTGCATGCATGCAGTTGATTTCAATTCAAAGTTCTGAAGTTAACCATAGCAGTTGGTGAGTATATGGTTTTGAGGGCCGAATGCATGCATAAAGTTTTTTAATGCTACTTTTGCTATACCTGCTAAATATACGTTAACGTTTTTATGAATATAGTTAAACCTAAAATTACTGGACAGCTACACTGCACGCAAAAATATTTACTTGATTAATTCAGAGGTTTGTTAACATAACATAACATAATCTAATTTTATTTCACATTATTTTAAGCTAAATAAATGCAACTACATACTACAATATCAATTAAAGAAAAAAAGAAAGTAATACAAAAAATATACACATAAAAGGAAAGTGCATACAGAGGCCGAAGTAGCGTAGCTTTCGAGCCAGCTGCCGGAAAAACGCGAGACAAACATTATTTCATAATTCTATAATTAGCTATAATGAAAGCGCAACTGAGCATGAGTTTTTTCAAGAATGTAATTATAGGCCAATTATGATAAACGTTAAATTCGCGAAGTTATATGTATATTTATAGCGCTAGCACTACATATTATATACTATACACTGTGTACACATGCAGTCATTATATATGTTTAATGTAGCCGAATCCGAATATTATGTAGTTGCTAACAAATAATTAATTTTCTCAAAACACATCAGGAACAGTCATGTCATGAGTCATGGCAGTCATTGAAGGATAGACTATACAGGGTGTGTCAAAATAATTTGAATTCAACTTGACAGACTGCTGTATATGAAATACTACAGTAAATGATATAATTTTTGTACGGCAATAAATACTGGCCTATTAGTTTTTCGATTATATCTTTCGTATATCAATACAACCAGAAATAACCAAGTTATCGTCTGCTAAAAATGGTTGCTCGAAATCAAAATTTTCCGCTTATGGGAAATTCTCTTACTCGAAGTGACATCTAAAGACAAAAGATAATGCAAACTTAATTCAATCAGCACAGCGCTTGTTTGCATAAGAAGAAGTTTGCGATAAATTTGCATTTCTGTTTTCAGTAATAATTGGCATTTCAAAGCCTTGTTTGACAAATTTTCAAAAGAAAAATGTCCAATTCCCATCGGCGAAAGAATGTAATTTTTGTCGCCTTTTTGTCGACCCAATAATCGTTAATTTTTTAACAGAATGACGCGTACATGGATGTCATTTGAAAGGCAAATAAATAAACTTAACAATGGTGTAAAAATCAACCAATTTTGTCACATTCTGCGTAAATACACGCCAAATTTGGATTCGAATTTTTTTTATACACACTGTATAGTCGGCCATGTCATACCTAGACTTACATCTTCAATAAGAATTCGAGTTTGTCTACTGTTAAAACATGATTTATGGGCGATACATCAGCAAACCATGACACAAGTAAATTCTTTAATTCTGGCTACCGTATATGCATAGCACAATGATACTAATATGAATATTATATATCATTTATTTCAGTGCAACCATGACAATGCCAGTCGGTTTCTGATACAGAGTAAGATATTCCCATTCCAAGATAATTACATAATGCACCTGGGGCCGGTTAATTGTATCAAGCCCGTTTAGCCCAAACGGTGGATAAGTTCAAAATAGAAAGCAAGTCTGCCGTTTTATTCGACAGGCGAACTAAATGTTTTTTACCTTACATATACCTTACATTTACAATACAAAGATACATGAGATACATGAATTTACAACTACATATTCAGCGCATAATATTCAAGTTGACTCATTTAAGAGAGATGTAAGAGTTATTTAATTTTGACTTATCCACGGTTTAAGCTAAACGGGCTTGGTACAACCGGCCCCAGGGGCAGTAAGCAAGTCGATGATCGATCGTTTTATTCAACAACCGAACTGTTTTTAACCTTAATAGTAGGCTAACATGTTATTTATTTTTTACTTATCCACCGTTTAAGCTTTAACGGGCTTGATACAATCTGTATACTCTGTTCAGTACGTATTATATATCATTGTGTTGAGATTTCCATCGCAAAACGTTGGAAAACGAGGCATGCAGGAACAAACTCACCTTAATTATTTATCTACTGAAAATCGTGAATGCATTGCCATGTAGAAATGAACAACGTTTAAATGTCCAAGGCAATTAAATTTAATTCACTGGAAAGGAATATGTGCCATGCTGGCATGAATTAAAAGTTACACGAATGCAAACTTACCACAAGTATAATTAATGAAGGAAGTGAAAACTAAGACGTTTACCAGTAGAAGGCCAATATTCAATGCGTGCGAAGTTTTCATATTGAAGCAAGATGATATTTTTTCTTCAGTAAGGCGCTGTGCGTGTTAAATGATTGCCGGCCTTCGAAGGTCGACTGGGAAGAACGAATTAATTGACTCAAAGTGGGAAACACTTTATAATGAAAAAAAAATCTATTGTGACATTGCAGGCTCCCCATGGTTGGTGCTGGAATGCCGTTGAAAATGATATCGATCGACATATCGATTTTTAAAGAGGCCTAATATCGTCTATTTTCACGGTTTAAAAATGCGAGAAATAAGGTGTTACTGTACAACTTTACGGAGAAACAAACAAGTTGTTTGTTGAAAATTATCGCATCTAGAAAAATCTCATTCAAATCTCAAGTCCTCAAGCATAAAAAGATCACTCCGAGACCCTTGGTTACCACAGTCACCATGATAAACATACAAAAACAAAGTTTTTGTATCTAATTTAGGTATGCCCATAAAGCTGTGCATGCATGTGTGTGCATGAAATGCGAGCTATGTCCTATTAATTAATTGTCTCGCGATGGTGGCTTAAAAATAATTTATTTACTTAATGTATGAAGGATAATTCCCGGCTAGAAGTCAAGTGGTATTCTTACTTCTTAAAAAATTCCACGTTGCATGCACGTACGGCTATAGAAGTGATCTAAAGTGTTATTGAAATTATTTTCAGAGTGTAATTAAAAACTCACTTCGGCAAAGGCTTGGCTGATGGAGTCAAACGTGGCATTTGTAAAATGTGGACTGGACTGGAAAAGCGCGAAGTTGTGAATTACCGACTGGTAAATCACGGACTCAGTGCGTTATATAAAACGGACTATGTTGCTATATACATTATGGGTTACGATTTTGCGGTACTTCACTCGATGTAGGTAAATTCTATAGGTTAATTTAAAGGGTCTTAATTATTATTATTATACATTATGGGTATAGCATATTTCCATGCATAGTCATATTTCCGGTATGGATTTTGAAAAACTTTCCAATGCATGTTACGGACATTTGACGCCATGTTGTAAAATGCGGACCGGCTTGACCGGGAAAGCGCGGACTTGTAAATCACGGACTTTTAAATGATTGACTCAGTCCGTGATATAAAACGCGGACTTGTAAATTGCGGACTTGTAAATAACGGACTAATCAATAATATTTTCCTCAGATCTCTCCACTAATTTTCCCTTTCGAAGGAAAATTCCCAAAAGACAAGACTTCCAAAGTTTATTGATAATGAGACAATGAACAAATTAAATTAACACTTATGATCTTTCAAATTTCAGTGCCAAACAATTGTCAACTCCAGTTTTACAATTTACATAATAACGACGCTTTTGTATAGTTTTGGCATATACTTCATGTTTTTGAATTAAAATAGTATGGAAATGGCAATTATAGTATGGATATTATAAACTTCCATGTAACTATTGCCATAAATCATAATATGGATTTTGAAAATAATTTCCGATTTTGAACACAAAGGAAATTTATAATCATATTTCTTATGGGCATTGTGTCGACTTGACACTGAGAGATAAGAGAGATACATTCATAAGATAAACTATACTACGCCCAGCGAGAAAATACTAGCTAATTTCGTATATTGGCATATCTGAATGTGAAATCTACGTCGCACACGAAAGCTATTAGAGCTGAGCTAAAGACCACGCGTATCTGTTAGCTCAGCAAGTTAAGGCTGCTTACCATAGACTGTCGTGTTTTTACATGTGCGTACACGTACGTAAAAGTGCTTTTAAATTTCTATTAGTTAACATCTAGGTCAGCAAATGCATACTAAACTAACTTATATAAGCAATTAGACTTTTACGTTCGTGTACGTGCGTATGAACTGACGCGACAGTGAAAAACAGCCCTTACTCTCGTGCGCGGATAGTCGGTTTGCGTGAGGAATTCGCCTCGAAAGACAAGTTTCTCACGATGCGGATGGTTTTCGGGCTGAGCTAAATGCTCAGCTGATAGCTATACATATCGTGTGCGGCAGGCTTAAGGATTTGTATGCGGACCAATGCCGAGATAATCAGATAAGCGATTATTATATTAATAATAAGACCCAGCGTGTCATTCCGAGTCACATAACGGCAAGGCATTCATGCACTTAATCCGGCTTGTGCATGCAATGTGCATGCAATGTGCACGCCGTCTTATTGGAATATGATTTATTGGAAAGATCTCCGACCGGGTCTTAATTTATGTGCATGAAAAAAAGGCTCTTATGTAGAACCAATTGTTTTCCAATTGTTAAAATTTTCATATACACAGGCGAATATATACGTATTCACTAAAAGAGTATACGACAATAAACTCGCCTGGGGTAACAATATGCATGAATACGGTCTATATACATAAATACACACACATACACACATACATAAAACTAGCCTCATCAACATAGTTGTTTTTCATGGGGGGGGTGTTAAAAAATACATAATGGTTACATAAAAATGACATAAAGCATTCAGAAACTAACGCGGCAGGCAGATATAAAGATTAACAAGCAAATACAAAAACTTACATGCAAGCGGACATATGCATGATATATAGAAAAAACAAATTATTAACTAAATATCATCAAGGAAAAAATTATCTTCATCTCGCTGTAGATTTTATAATTCTCTTAAAATGAACCGAATCAGCGTTTTTTGCATCAATAGGCAAATCATTCCAATGAATAGCTCCATCAGTATATTCGAAACTTCTTTTAAGATATTCCTTCTTTGGTTTTGGTAGTATTATATATAGGTCAGTTTCATTATTCCTAAGATCATAGGGGGAATCGCCCTCATTATCGTGGAAATAATTGTTTTAAATTTGGAGCAGCATGATCATTATAAGAGGAGATTTTTTATTATGTCGCGTATTTTGGCGGGAAAACGCTCAAAACCTGAAATCTTTTCGGCGTACCACTCAAAATCCATTTATTTTACCGTTATTCTTTAGATTATGTTGTGAACTAAGTTTTGAACTGTATTTGGTGAATGCAAAACACCAAACAAAGGAGTTATTACAAAATATAATGCGGCGGCTATCAACAATGTTATATATAAACGTCATTATAACTGAAATGAATACAAAAGAAGCTTCGATTCAAGTGTCATTTTCTTTTCGGCGTATCCCGAGAAATCTTTTCATTTTCACAATATTTTGAGATTATACAGTAAACATACTTTGTGGATGCTTTTCAGGTTTGCAAAACATTTTTAATGCTGAAAATTTTAGTGCTGTTGCATGAAGATATAACTGAGGTTTTGAGCATATATTACGCGACATAGAAAAATATCTCCTCTTAATTATTTTACATGTAAATAGATTTAAGTAATTTAGCTTTTAGGTACACCACGTAAGTATTTAATACTGCAAAGCTTTCAGACACAATAAAGGTCTGTTCACACAATCCAATTTTGTTGGATCCAATTCACTTCTGACGTATGAAATATAGCCGGCTATTGCATGGTGAAGCCGCGTAGTATACATTAAATTTTACCGAAAGAGGAAAAATTTCACGTAAGACTTATAAGAGATAACGCACGCGTACTCGCATCATCACCCAATATTGACTGGATTTTGTGAAAGACGACTTTAGGTTATCGGAAAAATGCAGAATGGTTGCGTTGTTCTAAAAAGTAATCGATTTCGGCTAAAATCTGTTGACATCATGTTAGATTACAAGCAAGATTATTTTACGAAGCCAAGTAGCCCAGCAGTCTCCAAAGGCCAATCGTTTTCAGTATACAGCTAGTATATACACATAAAGTCATCAGTAATGTAATTTTATTTTTTAGGTAACAAACTGAGTAAAAAAGTTGGACGAGAACGCGCATGCATGGTTGAAATTGGTGTCCATGGATTCATTTTCAACATTCAACCTAACTTTATCTAAGTAAAGATATATTTTGCCATTTTTTTAATTTTATGGAGATTATACAACTGCTGACCGCAACTGTACTTGGGTCGAATACCAATTACATTTCTGAACCAGTTCAAAATACTGTTTTCATATACAAAAAAAATCAACTCGATCGATATCACGACCATGTTTTTGCCCAACTGAGTGATCTCTGCATAAATGCACTATATAGTTCTTTATAACTTTTTTTTTCCGTTTTACATATTTTATTCATTTATTATATTTCATTTATGTTTTATTATATTTTGTTTTATATTTTTTAGTAAATAAGTATATTTTGAAGAGTAAAAAAATAGTTTTCCGCCCTATTTTAGACTAGCTACCGGTTTATAGATTTACTTTGTTATGAAAAGTGCCTCAAATCGGGAATCAACATGGCAACTCTTTGACAACGCTATACACAGAAGGGAAAACGAGGAAATAACAGGAATACTTGTCATGTCTGAGCCACGATAGATGGATGACTAGACACTTCTAAAATAGTGCCGAAATATTTGAAACTCGGAGCAGTGCACCCACGTGACCAATTGGCAAATAGATCTTTGTGTTATTGCATGATAATATTATAATGCCATGATCGAGAAAATAAACTATAGATGCAGCATCGCGCATAATTTATCCTAGGCAGCCCAGAAATCTGTTTATACTCAGTCTTCGACTGCATTGTTTACGCGCGCTGTCAGCTGCAAACAGATTTCTGGGCTACCTATGATTTATACGGCAATTTGCGTAGCATAATCAATTTGTTTATTTTTATCAAACTTTGTTGCTGCTCTATAAATAATAGCCGTGATACCAAATTTTGTTGCTAGGTGTCTCATAAACAGTGAAAAGAAACCAAGTTGGGGGTATAATCTCTACAGGATACAAACTAAGAATGCTGTGACCAACTGTGTGGTAATCGTAATTAAGTTGCATGGACTCCAAATTTCGCAATGTACTTGCAAGGCACTTTGTATGCACGAATCACAGAAATTGCAATATACTTGGGTGCATGAATCACCAGGGGCCGGTTGTTCGAAAGGCGTTTAGCTTAAACGGTGGATA